CTGCTTCTGCATATCTCAAAAGGGGGTTCAGTTTCAGCACGAACTTCAGAGAGGACAAACCATCCTCAAACCATAGCAGAATCACAGGATAAAACTACACTGTTCCAAAGCAGTGCCAAAAAAGCAAGCCAAGCATGGAGGCTAGGGGCCCACACCCTCTACTGACAGATCCCTACCTCACACCATCCACCAATGTAGACCACAGCTGGATCACATGCCTCAGTGTGAAAAGCAGAAGAAAATAACACAGAAGGAAATGTAGGAGAACATAGGAAATAATTTTTAATGAAATGTGAGACAGTACAAATCCTAAACAACAGCCAAAAAAAAAATAGTTTTTATTTGTTTTTTAATCTGGATAGTATAATCATCAGCACAATGATCTCTAATAAAGTTGAATTAGGGACTACAGCCCACCTCCCAGCAGTTTTCTTTCTGGGCCCTACCATACAGAAGCTCCACATGTGTGCACATGAAACCCGGGCAAGTGTGCTTCTGCACTCAGTTTTGGTAGGAAAAGAACAGAATCGATTCCTTGTAGAATCAGGAAGAGTTAGCTGGCCTGCTTTTTAGGGAAGTGGGTAAGGAGCAGACCTGAGCAGTGCTACTAAGGAGCCAGATCTGCAAGCACTGGCTCTGACTCACAGGTGACTCCAGGACAAGTATCAAGTTGTAAGAAACACAATAGGATCACTCTCTGTACAAAATCTTCAAAGCATAAAACACAATGACATACAGGTTGGATATGCCTTATCCAAAATACTTGGGACCAGAAGTGTTGGATTAGGGATTTCTGGGGGGAAGTTGTGATGGAGACCTCTACAAAGTGGCTCTGAGCAGGATTTAAAATTGACCAACTGGCTTTCCATGTTTACTTGTGAGTCTATCTAAGCCCACAGCTGAGGATGCCTGGCTTCAACCCCAGTTAACTAAAAGGAGACTACAGCTGCAGGCTCCACACTCCTACAATAAATACCAACCTAAATATAAGGTAGTTCTCCTGATTGACATAATTTACTACTTGGGAAAATATCTCCCAAGGTCCTGCTGGATTCCTCTCAGATTCCCACGTTTTCTTCAGTATCCTCCTCCTTTGTTTCAAAACCAAATAAATATGGGGCCTCCCAGATAAGTTCTTTGTCTTAGCCCCCAGAGAATCTCAAATTCTGATAGAGGGTTTGGAACCTCCTGGAGCTCTACAATCGTATCACTTGTTTCATTTATTTAAGCCTTGGCTGTCCACGCGTTTGGGAAGATTGTGGGTCTGATCAGCTCGCACTAACTGAGGGATATTATTAACCCATTACAACTGGATATTTGCACGTACATAATGAGCTGTCCTGGGGTGGGACTGAGTCTAAACATGAAGTCCCTGTGCGTCACCTGCCCCACACACGCCTCACAGGCATGGCCCCAGGTCACTTTACCTAATTCCTCAGCACAGCCGCATTTGGACTTTGGCCACCAATAGGACAGAGGCAGAATCTTCCTCCTGTGGCATCAGGTCCTTGCTCAGGAAGTTTCAGGCGCCAGGCATTTGGAGGAGTGTGCTGGTTGGCTGTCCTCCAGCTGGCAGTCCTGGAGAGGCTCCCGGGCCGCTGCACACCGGAGCCAGGACAGCACGGGGCAGGGCTTTGCCAGTTCCAGCTCTCACACATATCCCAAGAAAAGAAAACTTCCTCACTTGCCAAGGCACCAACTGTTTGCATTTCCTGTCTTTTTTTTTTTTTTTGGAGGGGTGGGTTTTGGTTTTTCTCCGGTACCGGGAACCGAACTCACGACCTTGAGCTTGCCAGGCAGGCGCTTTTGCCACTGAGCTAAATCCCCAGCCCCTGCATTTCCTGTCATATTGAAACCTGCATTCCACCTAGGATAAGTGACAGGGCAATACTTTCATACTTTTTGGTTTTTTAAAATATTTTAAAAGTTTCACAAACAGGAAAGGAAATGGGGGTGCCGCCACTAGAGGAGCAGCAGAGACTGCTGGGCAAGGACTGGGGAGTGAGTCTCCAGAGGAGAAGCCAAGTTAACAGCTACATGGGTGGAGCGGGGTGTATCTGTACCAGAAAGCAGCCTTCTCTCCTCTCCTCCAAAAACCCAGGAAGCCACAGGTGACTGTGGAATCTGCAGGCCCAATGCCCCGGGCTGGGCACAACAAGGGGCAACTGGAGGATGGGGGTGGGGGAGCCCAGAGAGGCCGGTCCTGTATAGAGCCCTCGAGTGACAGTTTCCCAGCGTCGCTGCCTCACTTCCAGCCTGGCAGCTGGGGGCTGTGGCTTTGGCCTGGTCATTGTTGACCTTGTCAGATGGCTCACACTTCCAGGAATGCAGGGCCTTGGTTCCAGGACTTGGGTCTATTTCCAGGAGGAGTTAATGTGATCTGGACACTGGCAGCTGCGTGGGAGTCTGTGGAGATACAGGGGAGAGGTCACCCAGACAGAGGGCACCCAGGCAGGAGCAGGGGCCGTGCCTTCTGCTCGCTGGTGCTGTGTCCTTGGGGCCTCTGCTCCGGCTCATGTTCCCTTGTCCTGCAAGACTTGGGTCCCGAGATGTAGGTGCTCCCTCCCTGGGAAGGAACCCATGCCACCCTGCCAGGCAAGGGTCTGGACACACCAGCAGTCAACAGTGCCCACACACCCATGTCTCCATCTAGGCATGGTGACACCGTCTCCTGACTGCCTGGTGGGGACAGATCTGGACCTGCCCTAGGCGCCCATGGCATCTGCCTCCTGGGTGGGCTCTCCTCCAGCCTCGCTGCTAGTGATATAGGGGAAAGAAACTCCCAACCTGAAAGGTATCTGGGACGAGTTCGAGTTCTCTAAAATCAAAGAATGAATGTTAGGAACAATGGAGGTTAAGAGTAGAACATATTTATTGAAGGAAAGAAAGTTTCTGTCTGAGAGAGAGGGACAGAAGGGGAGCCAGAGTGGGTTGCCCAGGAACTTGTCTCTTTTAGGGGCTTTTATGAAGCAAAACCACAAGGTGACGCAGGTCCAAGGCAGAACACACTAGGTAGGCATGACCAGCCAATAAGATTGCAAGTATCATTGTTTAGGTAAAATTGATTAAATGGGGATCAAATGGGAAAGTGAGTCATGTAGCAAGTGGGCATGAATACAGAGCAGAGAGGCCTTTCCTGTAGGAGGTTGGGTCAGTGACTCTTCCTGGCTTTTTTTAAAGGTGATTGCTATCTATTTAGAATGTCAATCCCTGATGTCCATCCCTAAGGAAGTAGGTGGGTGCATTTGTTTCATCTTTTGTCTTGAGGTCTCACCCACAGCTGGAGGTGTCTGTCTCTCCCACTGTTGCAAGGTATCTCACCTTTCTCACTGGCTCCTTCAAGAGCCTGGCCCTGTCTGACTCCCTATAATACTTCTACCTAACTCCGCTGCCTATAACACTGACACTGGGGACGTTATCTCATGGACACCCACAATCCATGTGGGTGTGACAGAGATCTAATTGCACAGGATTCCCCAGCCTGCTCCCACAAGAGACCCATATTCAAATCCATAGTGGTCAATGCCCTCTTCCAGCCCCCAAACTGGCCCCACAGTTCTGAAGCTGAGAACTGTGCTCCTCGCGCTTCAGCTGCAGATTCAGGGACCTTAAGGACAGCGGGGAATGAAACCAGCTCTGGATGGCATTTTCCCCACTAACTGCTGCTCCCCTGGGCTACCTGAGCAGCTGAGAAATGCTGACTCATCCCAGCTTCCCCCCCATACACAGAAGGAGCTGCTGGAGGGCCCATAGAGCCTGCTTACGGAGGCAGGTGGGGCAGCTGGCTCCTGGAGCGGTGCCAGGGTCTCCCCAGGGTGCTCCGCATCCAGTCATGGGCGACCCTGGGGTAGGGGCTGCAGCTTCGGGTAGAGCCAGCCACTCACCCCCAAGGCCTCTTACGAGGTCAGTGGAGCTCGAGGCGATCCCTCCCCAGAGAGGCACCATTCTGGTGATTGATGCACATCCTGAACACTGTTCTCTCCCTTGTCACCAGGCAACATGTTCTCCCCTGACCCTGTGTGTCCCCTCCCCAGGAGCCACACTCACCCCACCCCAGTGCTGCCCATGTCCAGTGACTGCTTCAAGTAGTTTCATCCGCATCCACACCGGGGATGTATTCTGAACCTGGGCTAGGAAGTGTGGTGCTGTCCCAGGAAGCAGGTGGCAAATGCAAATTCCAGGCTGGTAGTCCTGCTGGGTCAGAACACAGGAAGGCGCTGTGGCCCAGGAGCTTGCCAGGGCTATAGTGAAAGCCTGGTTTCCCAGGCTGTCCCAGGGCAGACAGCAAGTGTACTTAGCCAGAGGCTGAAGCTCCCTATGCAGCCCGAGCTCCGTGAGGCTGCCGACCACAAGGGGGCAGCAGGGACCACAGATTGGTCCCTGGAATGCCTTCTCCTCACGGCCTCTCTACCTGTTTGCTCTAATGGTGAGTGCTCGCCCTGTGCAGTCCCAGACAGGACAGAGATTCAGGGACTGCTGCTCCCGGGTTCCACAGTCTGTGCACCAGTGGCCCCATCCATTCCAGACTAGGGGGCGGGCGGAGGGCGTCCAGTGAGCCGGACAGCTCGGGCCACCTGCCCACTCCTGTAGTTTGAGTTAGGGCAACTTCTCTCCACCTGCAGTTCCTGCTTCATCTTCCTGCCCCCTGTCCTCCTCTGCTTCACATCAGGGACCCCCTTCCAGCAGCACCCAAGCTTGGATTCCTGTGTCGGTGTCTGACTCTGGGGTGTGCTAGTCTGGGCTCCACCCATGGTGGTGGGGGGCAGGTGTGGCTGAGACTCAGGTTGGCCCGCCATCCCTGCTGGTCCTCCACAGCGTGCCAGCTCTTGCACAGGAAGTGAACTAGCAGCTTTGGCCGGATAGAGCAAGGTGGTGTGGGAAGGGACACAGTGTGATACAGAGAGGCGTCAGGGGAGGCGTTTGTGGCCCCACAGATTAATTTAAGGGCTGGATCCGTGGGAGCTGGCTGGAAAAGGCAAAGCAGAGGCCCAGCACCTGCACCATGCGGTGTCCCCCAGGGTGGTGGGCACTGCCCTGGGCCACACTGCTGCTCCTCTTGTGCATCCAGCCCTGGGTGACCCACGCCTGGTGTTCCGAGGAGAACCTTGGCTATCAGCAGCAAGTCAGCAATCCGGAGCTCCGTGCTGCAGTGCAGTTGGCCCTGGACACATTCAACCAGCAGAGCTGGAATGAGAATGCCTACCGGCTGGAGCGCCTCCTAAGTTTCCAGCCAGAGCTGGTGGGTGAAGCTCTCTCCTGCCCGCCACCTGCGCCTGGGGCTCAGCAAGGGCTGGGGCATCCATGGTCTAGGTTCAGCGTGAGTCCATGCCTGGGTTATCATTTGGTTGTGAGAAAAAAATGAACACAGAAATTCTTTTAAATTAGGTGAATTCCCACTCATGTGCAAGATGAATTTTGTAATCTTTGTGATTTTTATGATGTAGCTAACTGAAGAATAACTTCAAAATAGATACCAGTGACATGATTAAGCCACAGAACGAGAAAGTAAACATAGAGATATATTGAGAAATATTTGAAAGGTGTAAAATAAAAGCAATTAAAAAAGAGAGACAGAGACAGAGTATGAAGCTGTACCTAAGTTGCAGACTGTCCAGGTAGCTGGCACAGGCCTCACAGAAGGCTCCTTTGACGTAGACACTGGCACCTGTGTGTTCTGACCTTTGGGAAGAGATAGACATTAGCTATCTAATGTGGAGTAGGGAGAGGGTGGTTCTCTATTAACTTTTATCTTGTGCTGTTTTTAGCTTTCAATGCAGTCCTCTATGCCTGTCCAGTCCCTGCTGGACACAGTGTGTGGAACCCTTTTTTCACCATGAGAGGGAGGCTGCGTCCCACGGAGGTGCACTGGGCTGGCCCGAGCTGGGGATGTATGTATTCACGGCCTGCAGCTCCAGTGCGACTTCCCAGGCTTACCGAGCCACGCCTCTGTCCTCACTCCCACTGGAGAAGGTCCACAGCTGTCACCTCCCAGAGCTGATCCTGGCCCCCACGGAGCTCCCACGGGAGCAGAGTTGGGACTGTCCATACAGGAGCACAACTGCACAGTCAGTCCACACAGCAAGGCCGCATAAGCCCCCTCTCTCCTTTCTATCCAGGATAAGAGTCCTGGGAGAGTGCTGTCTATGCAGCTGCTGCTTCGCAGAACCGTGTGTAGGAAATCTGAGAGAGGCATCGACATCTGCCCTTTCCACAGCAGCCCGGAGCCCAGCAATGTAAGGAGCTTCCCACGTAGCCCTCATGGCCCTGGAGATGTGAGTCCACAGCAGGCTCCCCAGGCTGCCCTGTCGGAGCCCGGGGCCACCCAGCCACCTCCACTCTGGCTCCGCCCACTCCACCCTGCAGCTAAGTCCCAGACACACTGTCTCCCTGGAGTCTGGGGAGGAGCAGAGAATGTCCCTGTATGGTCCTCAGGCCTGTGTGCCCTGCCTTCAGGAGAGGAGTCTGGCCTCCGCCTCAGTGTGCCCATCTTGGGTCCCTCCCCTTCCTGCCCCGGAGCCCACAGTACAGGCTGAGCTGGGCCCCTCGACCTGCCCCAGGCCCAGCCCTGGCCTGCTGAGTTGCACCAGTGCTGCGGACAGGGTGAGGAGCAGCTGGACCTGGGCACCAGCCCTCCTAGGCTGGCAGGCCCTTTATTAGAGAGTCAACCAGTGGTTTAACACTGATTCATGTCTGTGCTCAGCAGCTCCCTGGAGATCCAGCGCCCCCTGCTGTCTGGGGCCAATCCTATGGCAGCCCCTGGCTGGGTGAGGGAGCTGACCCTGGCTCCTTGGTGTCTGGAGGAGCCCAGGACAGGGCACAGCTTGGGATTCACCCCGTTCAGGCCAGGTAGCTTCACCTAGGGCCTGAGCCTCTTCTACCACCACTGGCCCATGAGAGGAGGTAGAGGCAGATGCAGAGCTCCGAGTGCCCCCACTCACTGTGCCCCTCTGATCGCTCCCAGACCTTCACCTGCTCCTTCACCATCCGCTCCCAGCACCATGGAGCCCAGCTCAGCATCCTGAAGAAGATGTGCTCCCCAGGGCCCCCCAGCCAGTGACCCAGCACTCCCAGGACCCCGGCCATTCACAGGAGCTGGACTGTGGTAGCAGAGCATTTCCGGGCTGCTCTGTCCTCCTGGGTTCCATACACTGGTGTTTTAGAATTTGGTTTGTCTTGTTCATCAGTAAACACCAGCATCTGCACATGCTCTATGGGCCGTGATCATGCGGCAGAAGCTGGGTGGGGATGGGGTCGCCCTGAGGGTTCCTGGTACTCTTGGAAGGTGCAGTGCTCCCCACATCTAGGCCTCCTGGGGTGGCCACAGATGGCAGAAGTCTGGTGCATCAGAGCTGCAATCTCTAGGCCCATAGTCATGGCCCACGGTGGACAAAGGCAAAATGACTGCGGCTTCCCAGGCAGCCAGGGTGCCCTGGGAGGAGGACAGGCCCTTTCGCGTCCTCCCAGGTGGGTGAAGGGGACTCTGGACTCACTCCTAGGAGCAGGCCTGGCACCAGGAGTGCCACATGGCCCAGCCTTAGGCCTCCTTGCCTTGGCAGAAGGAGCCTGGCCCATGGAGTGAATATGTGAAATACACAGATAACCCAGCGGCTGCACAGCCTTAACCTGAATACCCCATGCCGGACAGCACACGATTCCCCCCCCCCCCCGTCAGATTGAGGTGCTCTGGCCTTAAAGGTGGATGTCCTCTTTCTTAATCATCCCATGGTGCCACGGACCCTGTGGAGAAGCACAAGTGCCTGTGCCTCAATGGGACTTTCTGGCGCCAGTGGGGCAGGCGGGGCCAGGGTCTGCATCACTGAGCCTTCCTGGAAGGGGATCTGGCCGTCCCCCGCACCTCACTGACAGCAGCCCAGGTTCTGGACCCCTCACAGGGCCGGCACAGACAGGACCACAGCAGGAGGCCACGTGGCCTGAAGCTGCTCTGCGAGTAGTCTGGGAGACACAGAAGGGAGGTCACCCTAACTGTGAGGGCTGCACCGCAGAGGAGGCCTGAGGCAGTCCTGCTGGAGGGAATAAGTTTGTCAGGGTGACTTACCGGGTGGTGGATGACTCGAGGGCGGCAGCACCACCCTGTGCTAAGCTGTCTCTGTGAGATGTAGCTAAAATGGCAAATGCAGGAGCAAAGCGGGAAGGGGGCTTGAGGCATGTGAGTGCCCCTCTCCCAGCTCTGCCCCCTTGGCTGCCCACCGGTTTCAACCCTGTCCAGCACAGTGGCCATGTCCTTGTGCCACGGTCAGCCCAGAGACTCAGCCCTGGGGGGCCATGGACAGCTAAATCGTGGCCACTGCCGGACAGAGCCACGCTGGCAAGGACTCAGAAGACTGAAGGGCACCAGTGGGACAGGACGACGCTTCTCGGTGCACACTGGCCAGGGCAGGAGCAAGAACACTTGCCTGGTGGTGAAGAGAGGGAGGCTTCTTGGCCTGCTCTGGCTTCCAGCGCGGCGCCTCCAGCCAGGACAGCATGGCACAGGGTCCGGCTCTACCCTGGTCTCTGCCCATGCAGTTGAGCTGGGACCGCTACAGCTGGGTTCTCACCAGGGTCCTGTAGGGGCAGCGGCGACCTCAAAGGTCCAGGGCAGTGGCAGCGAGCAGTGTCACCTTCTTCTGCCAGGAGCCTGGGGTGAAGGAGCCCCACACAGGTCGTGGAGGAGGGAAGGCCGCAGATGGCAGAGCACCTCCGAGGCCGAGCACTTCAGTCTGACTAGGGGAAATCGTGTGCTGTCCGGCATGGGGTATTCATGGCAGGACTGTGCAGCCGCTGGGTTATCTGTGCACCTCACATATTCACTGCATGTACCAGGCTCCTTCTGCCAAGGCAGGGAGGCCTGAGGCGGGGCCATGCTGCACTCCTGGTGCCAGGCCTGCTCCTTCCTAAGAGTGAGTCCAGAGTTCCCTTCACCCACCTGGAGGATGAGAAAGCTGCCTGGCTGGCTGGACTCAAGACCGTCGGCCTTGCTAGCTGGCAGCTGAGCAGGGCCCGCTCCTTTAGCAGCCTTATCTGTCTTGCCTGAGCCATAGAGAGATCTCGAGAGAAGGCAGTGACAACTCAGGTCATACACTTGAGAATCTCTGTGCAACTCCATCCTTCCGAGGATGAGACACACAGGGCAGCTGAGCTGGACGTCCTCCATCCACAAGGAAGGCAGGGCACACAGGGTACACAGAGGCAGCTAAACCCCAGCCCTACAGAACATGAGAGGGTGACCAGGATCCAGGAGCAGCAGAGGGCGCTGCATCTCGGGCCTGCTCTGGGAGAGTCCGGAGAGATTCCTGGGGCAGGGCAGCCCAGCCCACTCTCTGGGTCTGGGATCATGAGCTCCTATCAACTCAGGTGCCATGTGCCCAGCACCTTCAAGGTACTGAATGTCGAGCTGAGTCCACTCCATGGAAAGGGAGGAACAGGCGTCCACACCCTACCTTCTTCTCAGCCTAAACCCCAACTCCCAGACCTTCACCAGCTGCTCTTGCATGGTCTGTCATCGAGCCAGGTTGCCAGCCACCTCCCACACGGTCATTGTCCCTCTCATAGGCTACGATTCCTGTCTAGGACCCAACAACCTCTGGGCCCCCCAAATGCTGCACCCACTGGGCTTGGCATCACAAGCCCCTCTCAGCCGAGGTGCCAAGCTCTGGTCTTGGAGATTCACTCAAGGTCTTGACAGCTCCCCCTCCATCCGATGCCATATTACTGTACACCCACATCCCTCGGGCGCCTGTGAGGTCAGGCTCTTCTCTGCACCCTGCTCTGCCCAGCAGCTGAGATAAGACAGGGCATCCCGGTCACGCTCTCCCCCACCTCCGCCAGCAACAAGGAGCCCCATTGTTCAGGAAGAGAACCGCAACATTGCTCTATCCCTTCCTCTGGAGCTTGGCAATAGTCCATTCTATGATAAGAGGGAAAGATGGTCAAAACTGGCATCTTCCCAACCGTTTTGTCACCTCCTGGACACCAAGTCTAGAGAGGAGATGGAAGGAAGATGGGGACCCATGCTCTGGTGCCCAGCCTGGCACCTGCCCCAACCTCGTGTCCACACTTGTCCAGCCAGGTGGGAAGTAACCCTTCAGGGGACCTTGAGAACTGATGTGGGAATCGAAGGACGACAGCAGAGGTGACAGCACAACGGACACAGTCACAGGTGCATCCTTGGCTTTTAGACCAGGAGACGCTGAAGCTGAGGCTGTCCTGTGTCACTCTTACATTTCCTCAGCTTTGTTGTGTTAAAAAAAACCCAGGTCTCTGTCAAAAGCAGTTGGAGCAAATAATTTCCTTGAGGAAGAACTCAACAAAAAATGACTTGAGCGAGGGACATGGGTGAAATGGGGCACGGGGATGCCCAGTTCTGGAGTGCTGCAGAAACACCTGACACCAGGAAGGGGCACAGAGTCAGATGGTGAAGGTGAGTGGCCACAGATCAACAAAGGGAAACAGCTGAAGCCTCCAGGACACTCGGGGGCATCTCAGCATTCCCTGACACCCACACTCACCAACTCCGTGGCAGCACACACAGAATCCTGCACCTCCATGTGGCTCTTGGGACCACTGGAGCACAGGGACCTCTCTCAAACAAGGGTGGCTGTTCAGGGCCTATGAGACCCCCAAATCCTGCAAAGGCATCACCTTCTCCTTAATTCAGGACTGAGGCCTGGCTAGACAGCTGGCACTTCTCAGCAATGCCCAGAGGGCTGCGGCAGTGCCCCTGGTCCATCAGAGGCATCAGGTGGAGCAGATAGAGACGCCTCACATCCACAGAGGAAATCTGGGGAGAGGTATGGGTGGGTAGGACTTTTAAAAGCTCCTGCATGTGCCAGAGAATGTGCACAGCATGGTGTGCCCAGGAGTGGACACACACTCACAAAAGACCCCAGGGGACCCTAAGCTGGCATCACTGGCTGGGACGGCAGGGAGCAATGGCCAAGTCAGATCTGTGACCATCCTGCAGATGATTCAAGGGCTCGCACAATAAGGAACACAAAATAAATGTCTTACACACATGTACTAGTAAAATAATTCTGAAATAAAACATAAAAAGCATTTAAAATTCAAAACAAATTATAAAATGCTTCCTGTTTGTATATAAATGTGTCACACACAAAGGTTTTAGATCTCTCCATCCAACTCTTTCATTTTTGTGCAACACCTCTTCCCAAAATTGGATGTTAGTGGCTTAAAAGAACCCGAATTGTCTTTCATACTCTGCTGGAGCCACAATGCCTCTCTGGCTGTTCTGGAGACACAATGCCCCTTCTGTAGGCGACTGTGGAGGCTGCTGCCTGACCCCAGAGCACCAGGTCTCAGCCGGCCAGGAGCTGGTCCACAGGCAGCGGTGGGCCTTGGGGAATTGGTCCCCAAGGGGGTGCACATGGCTCCCAGCCAGTCCCCAGGGCAGGAGGCAGCTGACACCAGGGGAGGGACTGGGCTCCACCTCAGGCTGGGCACGCTGGTCCCCACACTTGTCCTCTCTTTGCAGCCCTTCCTGCCTGGGTGGCGTTGTTCCCCCTGCCATACAGGAGGTAAATGAGTGGCTCTGGCTGAGAGAGCAAGTTCAGGTGAGAGAGAGACAGTGTGATGCAGAAAGTCCAGGGAGGAGCCTGTGCCTGAGCAGAAGAGACTGTGGGCTGGACCTGAGCCGCAGGTGCAGAGGAGTGGCGGGGAAGGACAAGGACAACATGGCGCATCCCCTGGGAAGAGGCTACTGGCCTGGGCTTTGCTGCTGCTCCTCTGGCGTGTTCAAGTCCTGGGCACCAGGGCTTGGCTCTTCCAGCTGGAGCCGGTGGACAATGAGGTAGTGCTCTACTCCCCTGCTACACACACATCATGGAGTTCACACAGCACATGCTCAACCAGGAGCTCAAGGAAGAGTACGGCTTCCGGGTGGAGCGCATCCTGAGCATCAGGAGGGAGCAGGTGAGACACTACCGCATCATCCTTGTGCCTGCACTGAGCTGAGCAAGGGACACACCAGGCGCTCCTAAACCAGGGTCTTGTTCATTGACCGTCACCCAGGCTCAGGGCCATGCAGCCAGCAGTCTAGTCTCTGTGAAATATTCAAGTTTTAGAATGCCACCCGCTGCAGGTAGTATTCAACCCACATAATTTTTATGATATTACTTATTGAAAATGAGGACAATGAAGGCTGTGAACCCAGACAGTGGCAAAGTGCCAACAGTGTGTGTTTATAGTGGCACAATGAGAAGGGCGCCGAAGAAACGGCGTGACAGAGATGCTTAGAAAAGCCACAAGCCTGGGAGGCTCGGGGCCGCTGAGGATGAGGATGTGCGGCCCTGGCATCGGCTCTGACTGCCACTGTTCCCCTGCCCACAGAATGCACTCACTGCATCCTTCACTCCCTCTGCCCATCTTCTTAACCCTGAACTGTCCTGGAGTGACTGTGGGGGGCATGGGCGTGGCAGCGGGGTGGGCATTTCTCTTGCTGCAGCTCAGGTGACTGCACTGACCTGTCGTAGGTGCCACTCCAGCTCACAGGGCTGACGCATCCCATGCACACATGAACAGGTGCCAGGCATGTGCTGCTGTCCCCTGGGAATCCAGCTGTGGGTTCCAACACCTTCACAGGAGGAGGTTGGGGTCCCACCAAGATGGACTAGATCAGCCCGAGCTGGGGACACACTCACAGCCTATGGCTCTGCTGCAACTTCCCAGGCTCACCAGGCCACTGACCTCTGTCTTCACTTCCTCTGGGGAAGGTCCCCAGCTGTCACCTCCCAGAGCTGGTCCAGGCCCCCATGGAGCTCCCATGGGAGCAGCATCGGGTCTGTCTTTATGCTAGCACAATCACACAGCCAGTCCACACAGCAGTGCCACAGAAGTCTGATTTTCCTCTTCCTGTCCCCACCAGACTAACAACAAGGTATTCTTCATGATGCTGCAGCTGAGCAGAAGCAAGTGTAGGAAGTTCCAGGATGACCTCGACAACTGCCCCTTCCAGGACAGCCCCAAGCCCAGCAATGCAAGACAGAGAGCGCACTGGGTCTCTGCTCTCCCAGGTGTGGGTGCTGGGGTGGTGGGCACGAGCCTGCAACTGGGGACCCGCCGGGCAGATAGCAGGGTGGGTACAGGGCCTGTGTACCTCCATGCCAGCTCCACCCATGCCACACTTCAGGCCCCTGGGGTTCAGGGAAGAGCAGAGAATGTCCCTGTGTGGTCCTCAGGCCCGAGAGCCCTGCCTTCAGGAGAGGAGCCTGATGGGGTCAGGCCTGGCCTCTGCCTCAGTGTGGCCATCTCAGGTCCCTCCCCTGCCTGCCCCAGAACCCACGGTGCAAGCTGAACTGGGCCCCTCAACCTCCCCCAGGCCCAGCCCTGGCCTGCGGAGCTGCACTAGGTGTTGTGGGCAGGGCAAGGGAGAGATGGATGTGGGCACCACCCTCCTAGGCTGGCAGGCTGCATGAATGAGAGCAGCTCCTTCCAGGATAGAGTCCTACTGTAGGGAGCGTGGATCTCCCCAGAACAGACTGGGGCTCCTCGTGGAGGTTCAAGGGACAGCGCCCCAGGGCAGGGCTGTGTTAGCGTTAGAACTAGAAGATGGAAGTGCACACTGGGCCTGTGCTCCCGCTGTCCCCTTTGCCACCTCCCAGGTCATCATCTGTGCCTTCAACATGAGCACACTGCCCTGGACCACAGGGTTCCAACTCTTAAACAAAAACTGCTCCACAGGCTCCTCCTGACCCCCAGGCCTGGCCACAATGCTTGCCTCCCAGAACACCAGGGCTTCTCACACAGCTCCCCGGGGCCCAGCTGCTCCAAGGGTGCTTTTCTTACATTTTCCAAGAGTTTGGGCTCCTGTCCCAGTGTTTAAAATTCTTCCTTGCCCAAGGTCACCACAAAGAACTCATTAAAGTTTGCACATAGAGATTATCTGTATGCGCCTCTCCCTGAGCTCTCTCCTCAACACTCTGCAGAGGGGTCCCCCCACCTCAGCTCCTCAGCCGCCTCCAGGGACAGAGGCAAAGTGCCCCCAAGCACCTGTCACCCAGAGGCCTGCAGATGGCCCACGGTGCAGTGGTACCGTGACAGCGACCTCTCGAGCACCCTCGGTGCAAGGCAAGTCCAGAGAGGGTGGTGGATCCATAGCACACAGCAGGGTGGGGCCTCTGTGACCCCGGGGTGGTGACGCACTGGTTGCCAGGTGCCCTGACACCAGCCCCCTCCCCCAGGCTCACGCTCCCCACCGATTTCCTGTGCACGTTTAAAGAGCACAGCCGTAGTGCCTGCCCTGCTCACTACTTCAACCTTGCTGAATGTGGCGGCAGACTCCATGTCAGAAGAGAGCTATGTCCCATGCACACCGCACGCAGCAGGCAGTGGCTGGGCTGGCCCTCGGGCCATGGCTGCAGCCCTGACAGGACAACCCTGGGCATCAATCTCACCCTGAGCCACAGCTCAAGGGCAGCTACCACAGGCCTCTTGCGTGACCCACCAGGCTCAGGGCTCGCTCCATACATGGGGATTCCCTGCACCCACAGGGCTGCATTCCACTGTCTAGAGGGTGGGGGACATCACGGTCTCCTTGCCCAGGGGCCTGATTTGGAGATGAGTCCTGGTGACTTTCTGTTACCAGCAGGACCAACCCACGTGGCCAGCCACACCCCTCCAGCCAAATGGAATAATGGGAGAGTCAGGCGCCACAGCTCCAGTCTCAGACAAACAGGCCTGTCCACACGCTCACGCATGTGCAACCTGTCTGTCCACACACTCATGCACACACTGCCTTTACACATACCTATGCTCGCGTAACCTGCCTGTACACATGCCCAGGCACATGCCTCCTGCCTGTGCACACCTGCCCATGTCCACACAGCCTGCCTGTACACATGCCCAGGCACATGTACCTGCCTGTACACATACCCATGCTCACACAGCCTGCCTGTACACACGCCCAGGCACATGTAGCCTCCCTGTATACACACACCCTTACACTCACACAACCTGCCTGTACACGCACACACATATACACACATGCAGGTTGCTCTCTAAGTACCATTACTCTTGCACGTTTTCTACCTCAATTCAAAACAAACCCAAGCCTCTGAAAGGCCCGTCTGTATCTCTGATCAAGTCCGGGGTTTGGAACCACTGCTTCTCAACTGGGAGTGCAGCTCAGTGGTCAGCAGTGGCCTCCCATGGGCAAGGCCCAAGCTCCCATGCCCAGCCCTGGAAAAACCTGCTGTTTCCGAGCCACGGGCTGTGCCTTTCTAGGACTCCTGGAAGGCGGTGTCTGTGGAAACCCAGGCTGGACACATGAAGTAAAAAAGACTTCTCAGGCCCTATCGACAGCACCTACCATGCCCACAGGGTAGCATCCACATGAGCACAGGCCACCTTGGCGGGAGGCAGCACTCCTTGCCAGGGCTGCCTACCCTCGGCACCAGGCCCCAGCACCCAGAGACAGAGCAGAGCCTGAGTGCGGTTTGGGCATCTCAAAGGCCTTTACTCCTCGCCAAGCAGAATGTATATGCGGAGAACCAGAAACCCACTAGGCATCTGTGCAGTGCTTCTTCAGCATGGACAGCTCAAATTTCCATGGCTTAGATCTAACAATAAAAGTGCAAAAAAACACCTAAAAGAGAAGAAAGGAAGAATTAGCTTGTATGAAAGAAAAATGAAAAGAAGGAAAGCAAAAGCAGAAGTTCCCATTGCCAGGCTCCAGGACCTGGCTCCACAGGGGAAGACACTGCCAGACCCAGCCGTGTGCTCCGCAGCTCATGACCAGGCCTTGGGAGAGGTGCCAGCCTCTGATGGAGACCACTATGAAGCAGCTCTGAGCAGGACTTATACTTACCGATTGGCTTTCCATGTTTACTTGTGAGTCACTGGTCCCTACTGAAGTCTGTAATGGTGGGTGAAGCCATGAGGCCTCAAAGGACAACATAAGGTCACAGCTGAGAACGGTTGGCTCCACCCCCATTAGCTAAGAGGAGACGGTAGCTGCAGGCATCTCACTCCTGCAGTGAAGGCCTTCCTGGAGATAAATACTTCTCCTAAATTAACATAAGTCTCACTTGGGGAATTCCATAATGAGTTTCCCAAGTCCTGCCCAGTTTTCTGCATTTTCTTCAGTATCCCCCTCCTTTATTTGAAAACCTAATAAATACAGGCCCCTCAGGGAAGTCTTTTCCTCAACCTAGAGAAACTCCAAATCTGTAATAAGGTTGAGCCCTCCTGGAGCCCTAAAATCATTTCAACTGTCTCATCTATTTTTAAATTTCTTTTTATTTATAATTTTTAAAAATTTTTTGGTGTTTTTGAGACAGGGTCTTGCTATGCAATTCAGGTTGGCCTTGCGTTCACTTTGTAGCCCAGGCTGGTCTCGAACTCACAATGATCTTCCTGCCTCAGCCTCCCAAGTGCTGGGATTATAGGCGTGTGCCACCATGCCTGGCTGCCTGTCTCATTTATTTAAGCCTTCACCATCCACTCATTTGGGAGATTGTGGGCCTGATCAGCCCACAATAACTAAGGGATACTATTAACGTAAAACCTCATTCAGTGTTCACCGCCGAGGACCAGGCCACTGCCAACCCCTGCTCTGAGCCGCCATGCCTGCCCCTACCGCTCCATCATGTTGGAGGAAGCCCATGTACAGAACAGCAAATCCATTTGGTCCTGAAGGTCCGCATCCCAGGAAGACCTCTGTCTGTGACAAATCAGGACAATTGAGAACTTTAAAAGTTTAATGCAGTGATTCAGCAGGGGGCCAGGGTCTTCATTTTGTAAACACCCTCATCCTGTACAAGAGGACAGGGAGATGGTATGAGTGCTACATCCGCTCTGGTGGTGGTGGGGTAGCCTGCTTACACTATAAGGGAGGAAAAGTGTCTTGCTCTCCCCTGCTTTTCCTCTTGTTGCTTTTGCTGTCTTCTGCTGCCTTGAAGTGTTGCCCCTGTGCCTGCCACCCTGCCTTGGAGCCAGCTGATTATGGACTGAAACCTCCACAGACAGTGAGCTTTTAAATAAATCTTTCCTTTCCCTCCTTAATTTTGGGCATCAGGTATTTTGTCTCAGCAATGAGAGAAAAGTAATCAAGACAGGCCCTTAATGGGGTGAAAAAGATGGGTGGCCAGGTCTCCGCAGGACCAGCCAGGGACCAAGACCCAGATACAGTGCTAACTATCCAGACATCTGTATAACCCCACCCCAGTACGCACCCCCGGGGCAGAAACCTTGTCCAGGACAACACAGCCCTGAGTGCAAGGCAGTGAAAAATAATGGACTGGTTTTGCTTTAGGCCTGTGTGTGTGCATGGCGTGCACATGTGTGTGAGCGTGTTTGTTGCTGGGGTGAGGGCGTGGGTACCAACCACGGATAATAGAAACAGTGCTGTGAGTCCTGAACCTGGCCGTCCACAGCAACCAGACATGGGTGGAGAGGAAGTGAGAGACTCAGGTAGGTTTGACCTCAGACCTGCTCCAGCTGGCCACCCTCCATGCCTCAGGTCTCACCTTCTGCATGTTGGGATCCTTTTGAAACAAACAGTGTTCATTTTCTCCGGCAGCCTTCTTGCACATCGTTCGGGCAATTTTGGCTTCAATATAGTACTCCAGGCTGTCTGTGACCTGCCGGCGAAGAGTTGGAGAACAAAATATCATAAAGCACCGCTCAGCTGGGTGAACATGCCATCAGCCTTGGGGACAGGACCATCTCCCTGCCTGTTCCCTCCTCCACATCTTCTTGCCAGATGTTTTTGGATCACTGGGGGATTCTGACCTTGATGCTGATCCCCATCTCTCCTCCACTGTGATATGTAATTTAATGCGATGGCAGCTGTCCCAAGGATAAAGCCAGGACACTACTCCTGGAGAATGTCCCCTGGGAAAGCAAGGGACTTGAGAAATACATAGTGAAGTGGGGCACATCACCACAGCTGACCAACAAATACCAAGGGAGATGTGGGGTAGCGTTAGCATGCTCCAGAACCCTGGAACAAGCCCTCCAGCACTACCTGATCCTCCTCCCAAAACCTTCCACGTCTGTCAACCTCACTCTGTGTGATGCAGCCTGCACAAGCCTAGCCTCTGCTAACACAGGCCAGCCACATTTCCACGTGTGGGGACACAGTGGCACCAGAGGGAACCAGACTTTATGGTTAGGACAAGCACAAGAGAAAGCAAGATTTATAAGACATATCAAAGAGAATGGCCAAGTTAAACTGTAGGGGACGGCGACTCTTAGCATATCATTTTAAGATAGAATATTTCTAGTGTTAATGCAAACCTCAAAATGTGTGTTGAGAAACATCCCGGAGGGGTTGTAGAAAGTTAACTTTGCAGTTCTGACTTTGCCCTGGAATTCTTCTCCAAAGACAAAGAACACCCAGGCCCAGATAATCACGTATGACCCTGCCTGGGTTGTTTCATCCCTTCCCTAGCCCTAGATAAACATTATAGCCATAAAGGAAATGTATGGTTATCTAAAGGGGGACATACAGAACAGAACAGAAAGTATATATCATTGTGGTTGGGCTCATGACCAGAGCCTGACCCGGTTACATGGCACAAGGAAAACAGCATGTGGCCAGGGCTACAGCATTCCAATCTGTTACCATGGAAACAAAAAATGTATATAAGGTGGAAACAAAGGCAGGCAGGGGCCCCACGTTCCTGACCTGCTAGTTGGGGAGGTGTGGTGACCAGTCTAAAATTAATAAACTCTGTTTGTCCTAAATAGAGTCCTTCGGTCTTCTGTGGAATTCAGCCCATTTGCCGCTACAAAACAAGCAACTGCTTCCAGAAAAAGCAGAGATAAATGAGGAAATGTAATAGATGTTTTTGTTTTATTTTGTTTTGTTGTTTTGTCTTGTTTTGAATCAAAGTCTCACTGTATAGTGCACATTGGCCTTGAGTTTACTATGTAGCCCAGGCTGGCCTCAAATTCATGGTGATCCTCCTGCCTCAGCCTCCCAAGTGCTGGGATTATAGGTTTGAGCCACCACACCCAGCAATGTAATAAACATTTTAGAAACTCTAAAAAGATTGCCTGGGGACTGAAGAAAATGGGTGTTGCAGTGAATTCTCAGGTGCTCCTGAAGGTTACTGTCCCTCTGCGCCTGTCCAATAGATACCCAGGGCTGGGATCCTGCAGATTGCACTCACCTTTAAAGCACTGGGAGACAATCCTGTTGGGCCTGACACCTCATCACCCGAGAGCTGGAATCTGGGATAGAGGACAGGGGCAAGGATTTGTGTGCCCTCTGATCCAGCCTATCCACTTCTAGACTTACATATGTGTGCAAATAAGTGCATAGGGTCCCCATTCAGGACCCTCAGAACCTCAAAGCAACTCAAGAATCAAGATAGAAACACCAGGGGCTAGGGATTTAGTTCAGCGGGACAGCGCCTGCCTGGCAAGCACAAGGTCATGAGTTCAATTCCCGGTACTGGAAAGAAAAAAAAAAAGATAGAAACGCCAAGCAATTTTGGTGTTTTCATATAAAGTGCTTTGCAGCAGAGCCCAGTGAGCATCTCAGTATTCCACACACAAATAAGATCAGGCAGAATTTTTCTTTCTGGGCCCAGCTTATGTCACAGAGCATAAAGACCAACTGATAAAAACTAAATTTGCACAGTGAACACATCAAGGGACCAAATATGGAACATGAGGACTAGAATTAATAACACTGTATCATATTTGGAATTTTTGCTAAAAGAGTGGATTTTAGGTGTTCTAGCAACACACATGTAAAAAGGATAATAGATGGATATGCTAATTAGGGCTATTACAATAGCAATCACTTCACCATATGTATTTCAAAACATCATGGTATACACCTTAAATGAACACAATAACATCTTTCTAAAATAAAAATAAACACTCCTTTGGCCAGACATGATGGCACATACCTGTAACTGCAGCACTTGGTAGGCTGAGGCAGGAGGATTGCTGTGAGTTTGAGGCCAGCCTGGGCTACATAGTGAGTTTGAGGTCACCCTAAACTGCATAACGAGACCCTGTCTCTCAAAACAAAACCAAATAAAACACCTGTATGTAGGGGAGGGGGGTGACGCATGATTGCTGTGTGCAACCAAAAGCGTGAAGTTCACAAACCATGTAGAAAGAGACAATCAACCCAAAATAATGTATGAGGTAGGGCTCTTTCCAGGTCCAGGAGCAGAGGACAGCGTGGAGCTGAGGGGGTGGGGCTGGGCACTGACCGCAGTTAGGTCACTGCTCTGTCTACCTCTGCTGTTCTCCTTCCTCCAGGTCCAGCCGGGCTGACCTGACTTCCGCTCTCCCTGGCCCGGGGCTCCTACCTCATAAGGGCACAATGGTTTCTCTCAGAACTAGCAGTCCGCAGCCTCTCTCCCGTAGCACAGTCAGGACGCAAACCTCTCCGAGGGTTCTAGCAGCATCCTCTTTGGTTCTTTCTTTTAAATCTGGGGCTGAACCTGGGACTGCACTCTGGTTGTCAATTTCCTCAAGCTCCTTTGATGAAGAGCAGCTTCCCAGCTGTTTCCTTTCTCTTTCTTTCTTTTTCTTTGTACCCGGAATTGAACTCAAAATCTCACGCTTGCCAGGCAGGCACTATGCCACTGAGCTATGTCCCTGGCCCCCCAGCTGTTTTCCCTGTCATTTGTACTCCGTAGCCACTGTCTCACAGCCCATGCTAAGAGGTCACACTTACAGAGGTGGCTGATAGGCTCACAGTGAGGAAGAAGACTTCTGTCACCTGGCCATGTCTCAGCCCGGCAGGGTCCTGGACAGCCGCGCACAGTGCCTGGTGCTCAATGTTAATCATAGAGGACACCTGCTTATCAAAACATCCCCTGGGAAGCAACGCCGGATGGGGGTGACTGGCCTCTGCCACCAGGTCAGTAAGTACCAGCAAGGCCTTTCCCAGCGTGTGCCCCATCACTAACTGAAGGGGGATGGCCATGAGCATGCAGGCACTAGCCTTCGGATGCAGGTCTCACTGACCATCTCATGGCTGCAGATACATCCTCTCCGGGCTGCTGGGCTGTCTATCAAGCCCTTCCAGGTGCTTGATTCCTGCTGCACTGGCAGCTGGACGAGTGTCCTGGTTGTTCAGTGTCATCACGCATGCCGAGGTACACAACTGGCCCCATACATGGCCACCTCAAGCTGCCTTCCTGGACCCTCACCTCCATGTCTTGATGTGATGGTATCAATTTGAAATTATTTTAATGGATATTTTGTTTCATCTCCACCCCAGAATAATAACAAATGAAATATAATGTTGGGAGCCACTGGAGCTGGTTAGTGGTCAAGCAGTCAATCTACCTCAGTATTGAAAAAGGCATCCTGCCAGACAATTACAGTCGTTAGTCGCTAGGCAACATCACCCCCCATGATACTAACTTTGCAAGAGTATAAAATAAACGCCCCTACTGTTGAAGTCAGTTCTCCTGCTCATCAGGCAAGAGGTAACTCCACCTGACCCCAGCTCTTGTCTCTTTATTTTTCTCATACCCACCACTGTTTCTCTCTGGGGTACAACGAGAGACCAACGAGGTACACTACAATACAATTAATTTTCTTGCCAAACCCTCTAAAATGAAATCAGTACAGTCTGGCTGACAGTATCCTGTGGCCATTTCCCATTCTTAGTGGCAGTAGCTGCCCATAGATAAGGGTCCTGCCCCACCAGGACAGAAAGCAAGAGAGAAGGAGCGCGCTCGCCCACCTGCTCCTGGGACTTCAGAATCTCCAGCACGCGGAAGCTGTACTTGTCCTTGCTGGCCTTGTTGTAGTCCTTCATGGCGTACCAGACTGCCTGCTGCACATACACGTAGGACGAGGAGATGTCCTGGAACGGCCGCACCACCTTCGAGGAGCTCCAGGCTTGCACCACGCTGGACTCAAGGATTGCAGCCACCGTGAGGAGCAGCAGCAGGGCCCAGCAGAGTCTGGGCATGGCTCCGCAGCCACGGGCACAGGCCACACGCTCTGGCCTTCTGGGGCAGGGCCCTGCTGCCTCTGCAGGGTGGACACCCTCAGCCAGCTTCTGGAGGCAGTGCTGTGGGTTCAGAGCAAAGCACCTTGGTCGGCGTGGCCAGCAGCTTCTCACACTAATGCACATGTACTTGGTCCTCATCTCCGGCTGACACACAGCATGGAGGCCCCGGGGATTTGGTAGCACATTTGTTAACCACAGCAAACCCTTTCAGTCACCCTTGCATTTCAGCTAATGGGGTGGCTCTTGGGGGGGCCCCTACATAATTTCAAGGTAGGGGCTGGGTGCCAGGGGAACCAACTGACAGGTGATCACCTGGCACTTTCAGCCCCACCCGGATGACAGTGCAGAGAGGGTGGAGACTGAGCCAACCACCACCGGCCAGTGACTCAGTCACTCGTACCTACCTACGAGAGGAAACCTCCAGGGAACCTGAAAGACAGAGCCCCAGGGCCCTCCAGGTGCTGGATGCCTGGAGGAGGGGTGGACATGCCACAGAGAGAACAGTACTCCATGTCCTTACACAGCTCCAAAACCCACATGGACACTGAACTGCCCCTGTGACAGCATAAAGGATGGCCCTTCAGGAGGCCATCAGCTCAGGGTGGTGTCTCCACACCTTCATGAGGGCCTGGGCTCTCAATGGAGCGGGGAACCACTGTGGGTGGCTTTGCAGTAGGAGCCCTGTCTGTACCGCCAGCTACCGCCCCACGGTGATGCAGCACAGTAGCTCCTCAATCCTGGACTCCCCGGCCTTCACAGCCAAGAACCAAATCACCGTTTGCTTATAATTTGCCTACTCTGAGGTGTTCTGGGGACAGAAAATGGACGAAGACCACTCAATCCGAGGAAGAGATTGGGGAGCCTGGGCCAAGCAGAGGTGCTGGCAGTGAGGGCTGAGCCCCAGGCCTTTGGGGTTCTGGGCTCACTGTGGCAGCATCAAAATCCAGGGGAGCCACGGACACCCGTGGTGTCCACAGAGCCTGGAGAATCGCCTGGCAGCAGAGGGGCCGAGTGGTGAAAGCAGATCATGGTTGCCGTCGCCTCTCATGGTCCAGAAAGGAGACAAAGGAAAAGAGGAGAAATCTGCAGTCGGCGCCAGATGGGCTTGGCCACTTTCTCTCAGGAAGAACTCACTCCCTGCATTCTCTGCACCCTTTTGCTTCCCTGCCAAGGGTCCCCATCTCATCCTCAAGTCCCCCTGCATCCAAGGAAGAGTGTCAGATCCTCCTCAGCCTTCCTTACCCCTACTCCATGCCCATTCACCTCCTGCTGCCCAGCTCCCAGAAGCAGCCTCGAGTCCACTCTGGAGGCTCTCAGAGGCTGCTAGGTCTGTGGGGTTGGGTCCCGTTTAACTACTACCAGCCCCCACAGGAGCCTCGGTGTGAGTCACCCCTGCTTCCAGGAGGAAAATGAGAGAAGAAAGGCAGAGCAGGTGCCTCACACCACTGGATGGAAGGAGCTGTACCTGCCATCTCCCACACCTTCATTGCAGATCCCAGCTGGCACATTGCCTTAAGGACACACCACTCCAGTGCTGAAGATGAGCCCCGGAGGTGGGTCATAAGGCAAGGGCAAAGTGATTAGCAAGGGCTAAGCACAGACTATGAGCAAGCAAGTGGCTTGAGAGACACCAGCAGGGTCCATACAAGGTGAGTGAGAAGCAGAACGAGGCTGAGCAGGAAGAGAAAGCAGTGGCACAGCCAGGGATACAGGGAAACCAGAGGTGCCTGTGGCTCAGCGGCCTCTGCAGAGCCTCCCTCTGGCCTGTCCTCTCCAGGGAGCTGAGGACTCTCCCTGGACCGCACGTCCCATAGTCTCCGCCTCTGAAGGTTTGCACTGCCCGCCTCATTTACCCAGGGCCAAGCATGCATGGTCCAAAAGTATCAAGTGGGAAATTCCTAGTGGACTGTGATGATTGCTCTAGTTTACTATTAGTTGTTTTTTTATCAATAAACTCTTTCCCTGGCCTGTATACACAGGAAACATAGTATGTACCATGTTCCTGCTCTGGCACCCACAGGACTGGGATGCCCCACCTCAAGTAGGGCCTGCTGTACCACAAGCACCTCTGGGTGCTCTGCCCCAACCCAGGTGTCGCTGTGCTCCCTTTGTCCTCCATCAGCCCGAGCTGACAGCCAGGCAAGAGAGCACCCTAGGTCCCCACAGTCACCAGCTCCTCTGCCTGGCCTCCTGCTGTGGGCTCTCAGGTGCCCCCTAAGGTGGGCCCCAACCTTAGGGTGACACCGGGCCACACACAGCCCTGCCATGCAGTCACCACACAGACCCACCTCGGAACCAGGACTGGTACTGGTCCACTGTGAGGACTTGAGCCACTGGCTCTGGTCCCCACCGCTCCAGCCCCGGACAGGTGGTTCACACCCTGCCAGGCAGGCATCTGGTGGAGCCTGCACTCTGGGCTCCTGTGCACCACAGCCCAGCCTGACCACACCTGGCCACACCTGCAGCCCCTTTGTGAGGTCAGTCACCCTCTGCTGCTGCCCACTGCCCTCTGCCCAGGGAAGTGTGGGCTGGGGCCCTGAAGCCCCTCAGCTCCACCCCACACCTGCTGGGCTCCTGGGCTTCACCCTCCACAGAAATTTCCACCAGTCGCCCCATGTGACCCAGTGCTCAGGGGCAGGACAAGGCACCAAGACCATGCTAGGGAGGGGAGGCCACGGGGGCAGGGGGCCAACCACTGGCAGGAGCTGTGCCAGGAGCACAGCAGAAGGCATCAGTGGACCATGGACATACTTCTTGGTTGTCTGCCACTGGACCCCAGAGCCAGATGATCCCATGTGGCCTACCAGCCACACCTTTCTTCAAACCTCTTGGGCCTGACCTTGCTGTCCTGTTGCACTCTCGGTCCCAAGCCAGATCCACAAGGGATAGACTCCCAGCCACCCCGCAGCAAGGGCGGCTCCAGCAGAGGATGCCACCCCCGAATGCAGAGGGGGATGTGAAAAGGGCTCAACTAAAACACACCAAGTGGACAGAGATCAGATTTGGCAGTGGGACAGGTAGAGAATATGTACCCTTGAGCCAGAAGTCACACGGGGCCAGATCCGGTGAATAAGGCAGATGAGGACACCGGATCATGTTTGTATGAGCTAGCTGCCTTTCCATTGGATGCACTCAGCAGCAGCATTCACTGTATTTATTATCAAACCCCATAGATACAAATGAGGACTTTTCAGAACTACTTCAGAAATGGCGAGAGTATGGGATAAGTATGTTTGAAGTGAATGGAGTATTTTGAGGGAGGGTTAATGGAAAAGTCCTACTGCAATTTTTAAAAATTTAAATGTTTACCATTCTCTTGATCACACCTTGTATGCTTTATCTTCTCAATAATAAAAGTTCAAGTTGACCAACAATAAAATGTCAATATTCTCCCACACATTGGGAGAAAATTTAACCACAAGACCAGACTAATTAAAATCCCCAGGTCAGACTGATAAATCACCTTCCTGCCTCTTGGCTGAGGGGGATCCAGAGGTCTTTGTCAACAGCCATGGATTTAGCTGTCTCTGCTAAACATTTAAGAGCTATATATTTACAAACAGAAATCTTTGCTCACATGCATGAAGTTGGCAAAAAAGTACTTGCTGCAAAATAGTTTCTAGTACTTAAAAAACAAGACAGAAAATCAACCCAAATATGTATCAAGAGCAGAAGATTAAAATGTATGATATCTGTGTTGGGGAATGTAGCTCAGCGGCACAGCACCTGCCTGGCAAGTGCAAGGTTGTAAGTTCGATTCCTGGTACCAGGAAAAAATAAACAAAAAAACAAAACAAAACAAAAAAAATGTATGAGAGCAATGAAATGCAGTCTAAAGGAAATGAACCAGAATACATGCACGAGATGAACAGAGAGAGATCTGCTAATACACTGAGCAAAGAAGGAGCCCGATGTGCTGAGATTTAGGATAACGATTTATCCATCCCAAAGGACAGGAAAGCAGGCTATCCCGAACCATGCACAGGCAGGTTCCTGGGGGAAGGACTGCACAGGAATTTTACTTTTGAAGTTAATTATTTCCATAACACTGGCTCTCTTCCTAAGCAGGATTGCTTTCATTAAAAAGGTCAGAAGTCCAAATCAAGTGTAGAGTGAGCACCACAGCGTGAAATGCAGGAGCCCAGTCCCACTCATTCCCCACTCCAACACAGACGTCACCAGAGATAGATGGACAGAAGCCTCAGCTTACCACCAGCTCCACCTCCTCCTGCCTCCTCCTGCTGCTTCAGCAGGGGTGGAAGGATGGGTAGGTAGGTAGATAGAGGATAGATAGATGACTGATACATGACAGATGATGATGATGAAGATAGATAGATAATAGATAGATAGATAGATAGGTGATAGACAGATGGTCTGCTGGTTACTTCTGCCAGTTTAAAGTTTGAATCAGGCCTCTCCTCTGGTGTCCAACCCCAGGAGCCCCTCGGGAGTCTCTGTGCAGGCTAAGGTGTGGTCAGCTGGCATTTTGTCTGCCCCTCCTTCTGCCAATTCAGTGCATGCCTTCCTGCTCCTGTGACCAAACTTTGCCCATGGGATGCCCTACCACGTGAAAAGCCGACGCTGACTCACGGAGGTCTAGAGTAGGGTAAGGGTTTTTTTTTGTTTGAGATGTGACTCTCCGTTGGGTGGCAGAGGGTTGATTAAGTTTGGCGGAGGTGGTGTGGCCAGTTGCTTGGGTAAAGGCCTTGGGACCCTGCAGGTGTGGGCAGGTGGCTTCTGCTTGACATAAGCAGACAAGAGGGACAGAGGTGTCCAGCTGTGGGGCTGGCTGACTTCAGGAACCTGAGGAGGGAGGCAGAGGTGTCCGGAAGTCAGGAGGGGCCACTGTGGTTTGTACTGGAGTGGGATGGGGAGGGCAGCTGCAGGCAGGAACTGTCTTGTTCCATTGCTCTTCCCAGATCTGTTCTCTGTGCCGTGCTGTCCAGCTGAGCCGCCTAACCGGTCCATGAGGAACAGGCCAGCCCCTGCCTGCACACGCTGCTATGTCACATTGCTTGCCATGACCTCAAACAGCACAGCAGGGTGATCACCCTGCACACAGATCCTGTGCTGACCATTCCTGAGGTGGGGCAAACCCAGAAAAAACTTATACAGTTGACAGGTGTTCAAAGGGAATGAGCCCTGTGAGACAATGTATGCATGCATGTGTGTGTGCATGGGTGCATGTGTATAACAGGCAGAGAGAGAAACAGAGAGACAGAGGCAGCAGCAAGGACCTGGGGGAACAGAGCATGTCCCTGAGCAGAATGTTTGACCCTGATTCCTGGCATCAGCAACACAGTCAGCACGCATAGGAGTGATTGACTGAGGGGCAAGGAGAGGAGTGCAAGAGGGAAGACAGGGAGAAAGAAGAGGAGAAAGGGAGAAAAAAATGAAAGTCCCGTGGGCTGGGAGTATGAGCAAAGACAGCTTTGCCGTGAGATGGAACAAGGAGCTGGCTGGGAGGGAGAACAGAAAGGGAGGCACTGCTGTGCTCCTGGAGCTTTGCATTCCTCTTTCTCCTCTTCTTGCTCCTTCTGCTCTACCTGCTCCTCCTCCTGCTCCTCCTCGTCCTGCTCCTGTTCCTCTTGCTCCTCCCGCCCCTCCTCCTCCTCTACTTGCCCCTCCTTGTCCTGCTCCTCCTGCTCCTCTTACTCCTCCCTGCCCAGGTGACACAATCACTTCCCCAGGAATTACCTCTTGTCCCTTACACCTGCCTGGGGGAGAGCTACACCTGGTGCCAGAGTTCCCCAGCCCTCCTCAAACAGGCCAGGTGCTGCAAAGACACTGCACCGAGAATGTGTCCTTGTCCTTTGGCCATCGTGTTGGTGTCTGCTCCGTTTTGAAGAAGTGTCATAATTTGGGGTGCATTTAGGTCCAGGATTGCATCTTCCATATGACTTTCTGGTGACACTCTCAGGGCTCTCTTTAGTATGGCAGGAGGTATTGCTGGATCCTCTGTGTGGTGGGCACTGGGGTGAACGGCTGGCAGGGCAAGGTCACAGAGGGAAGTGGCAGTTGGCCTGCTTGAGGGACTCGGTGTGGATCCCCTGACTCTGCAGCCTCTTACCAGGGTCTCCACAGATCTGCAGGTTAGCAATGACACAAAAGTGCACGTGGTAGCTCCTCCCTAAGGATTTACTAGCTTTTCTACTTTTATGCTTTTGCATTTTCCCCAGTACCAGACACCATCATTTCTGGTTCCTGAGACTCACTTTCACCCCTCTGCTCACAGTCTTTCTTGATCATTGTTTTATAGTTGTTCTTTCTAAACTTTATCATATTGGACCTTGGTTCCTAAAAACATGGAATCAGCTGTCCAATAGTGGAGGATATAAGCCAATCACACTCCCGTGATCACTGTTTTCTTTGGAGACACACATGGCCCTGAGAGACACCAGGCACCCAGGATTGCTGTGCAGAGATGGCCTTGGGCTGCAGCAGCTGACACTCTGCAGCAGCACCCTGCACCCTGCACCCTGCCATCCTTGGCCTGTTGGAAGTTGTAACAATTGCTCAGCTAAGGAACAAATGTTCCCAAGGGCTGGCACATCTCCACTGCCTGGCAGGAGGAAATATGCTGGAAGTGGTGGGGAGGGGTGTCAGAGCCCAGCAATCCTTCTGCGCTGTGTCCCCAGCAACCAGGCCGACTCCACCAGTGCTCACAGATGCAGGTGTCCAGATGGATCTGTAGCTCAGACCAGGGGAGAAGTCACCCCAGCCCTGCCTCCACACCCTAGGAGCCAGGTTCAGGGTCCCCCAAGGTGTGAATGGGTGACATGGTGACAACCTTCAACTGGATCATGGTAGCACTGAGTCGAGATCTCAGTCTTGTGAGCTGGCCTGGTTCGATCCCCTTTCAGTGGCCTGGAGGTCCCCAAAACCCAACCCTGCTTTGGTCTTCATGTTCCCCTGGCCAGTTCAGCTCCCATGGCCCAGCCAACACATGACACCCATTTTACTTGTGCTCCAACAAGGCAGAGAACAGGGCCTGTCTGGGGGTAGAGGCCCTGCTGCCTGTGGAGCGTAAGAGGTGCGGGGAAACATCCCTCCCTCCTCGACACCCCCAGCCCAAGCTGGGCCACTGTGCACACCAAACCCCTCCGTCATCTATCCACACAGCTGGCCAGGCCCTGGCCTGCCAGGGACATAGAAGAGGAGGCAGGAAGCTGCAGCCCAGAGGCAGGGTGGGGACAACAGTGTGCCTGGCACCTGTGTATGATCAGGTTCTACAAGGGGTCCCACCCTAGGGGAGGAGACTCAGGCTCTGAAAGGATGAAGCAGCTGGGCAGAGCAGGGCAGAAAGTCCCAAGGCCCACTGAGGGGTGTCCTCGTACAGAAAGCACCTGTCCTCTTCCTGCAGGTATACATGGCCTGCCCAGAGTGGGACTTGCAGACCTCCAGTCACCCTGGGAGGGGTGATGAGAGCAAGTACAAAAACATGGTGAATGTGCACATTTGAAAACATTATTACAGTAAGAGACATATTACCATGAATCCCCTCGGAATCTGCCCTCTCACTTTGAACATCATCCTTGCCACTTTCTGCAGCAGTGCTGGAGTCCTCTTTCCTGAGTCTTAGTGGTGCTGTCCTGGCTGCCTCAATGTCCTGAAGTGATTCCAAATGTTTCCTTTCCATGGTCATTTTGACGTTGGGGAAGAGCCAGAGGTCACACAATACCAAGTCCAGTAAATAAGGTGGATTATGTTTTTAAGAGCCCGCCTTTCCCTTGAATGGTGCACAGCAGCAGCATTCACCATATTTTTGATCACACCTCATCAAGCTCCTCAGGAAAGAGACACTTAGACCTGCAGAAAGTGGCAAGAATGATGAGCTGAGTGTGTTTGAAGCAATGGGAAATATCTTGAGTGGGATTCATGGCAATGTGTCTTTTACTATAATAAATTATTTTAAGTTTCAACAGTCACTGTGTATTTCCATTACACTTCTGTGTACATGCATGCACACACATGCACATGTATGATTCTAGAGTTCAGAGGATATCGCACAACACCATAAAATATCTCTTGTAAAGATAAAAGTTTTAACTTCAGCCTAGCACCCTGAGGCAGAGCTCCTATGGTCAGAAAATGAATACAAAGGAAGCACCAAGTGGCCATAAAAGCACAGGCCAATTTCCCTCTGCATGTTTTGCTTCACAGAGTCACAGAACAAGTGTAGCTGGGGGACAGGGTGGATGTGGGCCCTCTCTAAGCCTTGCATTGGCTCCAAGGTGGGAGACTCAGCCCTCCGCCCCTGTCAGCCTCCACCACACAGAGGCCAGAGAGTGGAAGGCACTGTGATGCCGCAGTTCAAATCTCAAACGTCTCCCAAAGTCTTCTATGTCCAGGGGCAGGGCCTGGGAAGGTGGCCAGCCCATGGGGGGAGTGTGCTCAGCAGTGGATGCATCCATTGGTTAGCTCAGGGCTGACTGGGCTGTTAGGAAGTTTTGGGGCCTGAGAAGAGGGGTCACTGGGTGGCTGACCTTGTAGGATGCATCTCCAACCCTTCTCCTTCCTCTGTCTGTGCCTGGCTGCCATGGGCTGAGCAGCTCTCCTTCCCCTGCCAGACCCTCCACCATGCCGCTTCTTCCTGGGTCCAGCCAGCTTGGGGCTGAAATCCCCAGTGCACGAGCCTAATCAAACCTCTCCTTTAGTGGATATTTTGTCCCAGTGACCAGAAGGCCAGACTTGGGCCTCTCCTCACACCCCAGACTCTGAATGCAGCACACAGAGAAAAATGAGGTTTCCCAGAGCGCTCTCAGCACCAGCAGCACCCAGACAGGCAGTCCTCAGGAGGCTGGGGGTGCGCAGGGGATAGTGAGGTGCTACAGGGCCACACTTCTGGGTCTGGTGGCCTCAGTACAAAGACTGAGCTCCTCCCTGTCTGCCTGGCCAGACTGTGAGACGTGGCTCTGGGCTGTGCATACCTTTGTTACACATGGTCTTGTGATTTACACCCAACACTATGCCTGAAACAGGTCTGTTATCTGAGGCTGCAGCAGTGCAGAAGTAACAAAAACATTAAAAAAAAAAGTAATCATGGTGAAGTACACAGAATACGAAGAGCCTTGCTCTTCAAGTCTGTTCTGGAGTGTCAAGTGCATTCACCTGTCCTGCACCTGCTCACCTCGGGAACCAAGCTGCTCCACCCATGGAACAGCTCCCCTTAAACACAGCCAAGCTCGATGATGACTTTCTTCAAAGGGATCTCACCTCCCACCACCATCCTTGTTGCCTGCTTCCTCCTCCACACCCCTCCCCTCACACATACACACATGCACACATATGTACACACACGCACACAGGCACTGACAGCACAGCTTCTCCCGCTCTACCACGCTCATTATTCTCTCTTTATGATCACCTTCCGCATTCACAGGAGCAACCCCCCCACAACCCTCAAGGATACCAGGGGAGGCTGCTGGTGGTGGCACGTGGGTCTCCCACCAGGGGCCGGTTCATCAGTACTCTCAGAGAGAAAGGAGCCCTTGGCCCCAGGAGGCATAGAGAAGACATTGCTGAGTTGGGCCAGTCCTCTGTACAGATTATTACCCAACCCAAGGAGATGCCTCCCGACTCTGCCCTACACTGTGGACCAGAACCTCATTAGATCTTCGAACCCAGAGGGGCATGGAGCAGACCGCAGGGGAGACTATGCTCCCATCCCCATATGAACCTAACATTGAGACAGCAGGCAGAGAGAAACCGGAGAGTACATGGTGATGGCTGGCACTGTCCTTTCTTTTATCTCAGGAAAAGGCAGGGTAGGGTGCTCTTCACTCTCCAGACCTTCCTTAGATTTCAGTGTCTGAGCACTCCTTCTTCAACACCGAGAAATTGCCGTTCCAGGGAAGCGCTCCCACCAAAAAGTTGCAACTCACTCTCTGCAAAAGACAGTGCCACTGAAAATCAGCAATATGCTGAAGAAAAAGAAAAACTCATCCTGTTGCTGGGTGTCAGCTTAGGACTATGCTGGCAGATGGGTCCCCACCCACCAGGGATTGTGCCTAGGAGGCTGTTGGTCACAGGAGTTGCAGCTCAGCCATCAACAGCTGCCCAGAGGAAGCTCCAGTGACACTAGCCCAGGGAGAGGACAAGTGGGCCCGGTGACACCTGCCACAGGGCGATGGCAAGCATGAGCACACTTAGGATCCTGCAGAAGATTAGATATAAACTCAAAGGCTTTATTTAATGCATCCTATAAAGAAAATAAAGCATCTCTATTAGACACCCTGGTGCATGCTATTTCAAGGACTAGATAATCCCTTTTGTGCTAATAACAGGTCAGCAGCGACAAGAGCAAAGAGAAGCCGGGAATCTGACAAGGAACCCTCCTTCCCCTGTCCAGTGTGCAGAAATGGCCAAACAGTGCATGGGTGGAGGGCTGGCTAGAGGGACAGGTGGATGGGCAGATGGACAGGCAAGTGGGCAGGTGGGCAGCTGAGCTGGAAAATGGTAAAGCCATTGGAGATGGAGTCTTTAAGTCTCCCTGGAGCTGAGAAAGAAAGCTTGGTCTCCACTGAGTAGGGGACACAGGCAATAAAAAACATTAAGAGTGTGATTTTAATGCAAATTACTTCAAATTTGAGGACCAAAAACTCCTTCTATCTGTAAAGGAATCCAGAACACAGAAAAAAGGGAAACTGCCCATCCTTATACCAGCAGATCAGCAAAACCCTGAAATCACATGTAACTGAGATTAATTCCAACCCACACATACCCAGTAAACAGCAAAAATCCTAAACAAAAACTAGGAAACTAAAGTCAGTTGCATATGAAACACTGTCCCTAAGCAATTACTTTTCTGGAAATTCTGGTTCCACAGATTTGAGATAAGGCCTGGCCTGCATGTGTGCATCAGTGTGCATATCTATGTGCACATGAGCAATGTGCATGTACCACGTCTTCCATGTGACTGGGGAAGGGGGTATGGGGAATAGCTAATGCACACAGAAGTGAATTTCCTACATAAGAGCTGGCACCTTGAGCCACCTGTGCTCTTCAGGAACAGATGGACACAGTCCTTCCCACTCCACTTTCCAGCTATGGACCTGGCTTCTGCAAAGCACCACGGCAGTAAGGCCACTCCACTGTCCGTGAGGGCATGGCCAGAGAGCACACACACCACAGGCCACCTGGAAAGTGGCCCACAGGAGCTGAGGCCCTCAGCCAGTGAAAGAGACCCACAGCTTGCAAAGCTGCCAGGCGGAACCACAGACTCCCCACACATATCTGTGTGCAGATGCCCAGAAAACCGCAAAGACCACCCTGTGGCAGACAAGTGTGCAGAGAGAGGCACAGATTTGTCAGTGTGACTGGACCTAGCCCCTGCCAGTGAAATAGAGCCACAAAAGTGCTCTGCCACAAGAAAGACAAGTGCTCCCATGTCCCACCTGGAGGAATGGCTCAACCTTAGTGAGTCTATTGTTTTGATTTAGAATACCAGGAGAGCGAAGGAGAAAAATTATTCAATGTACTTGGGTAGAGATTGAAAGAATATTTGATAGCAGAAAACCTTCTTAATTGAAAAAGTAACTGCAGCCTGGAGAGAATTGGCAGTACTTCGTGTAATATTTAATAATAGGATCTGGATCTGGAGACTTGCACTTGAGCCAGGAGCAAGAAGGGCTCAGGGTTGCCACTTGCAGCATTATCCCCAACGCTTGCAGAGACAGGGAGTTTTGACTGTTGATGTGAGCTCAAAACATGCACCTGAAACCCTGCAGAGCCTCAGAAACTTCCAGGGCTACAGAGCTCCTTGAAGGCTTGAACTCTCCTTGGTGTTTTCTACAAACAGCCAAAAGCAACCACTTCCCTAAAACTCCAAAGAGCCCGGGAGAAAATATAAATGCAAAACAGGAAAAGATTAAGAAGAAAGGTAAGGAGGCACCAGGACAGGCACAGCCTGACAGCTTCCTCCTGATGAGTGTCCAGGGCCACCCGGAAAGGGCAGAGCAGTTTTAGTCCGGTTTAATTTGAGCAGTTTTAGTCCGGTGTCACTAGTGTGCATGTTGTAATCCTACTTGGTATTTCCTGCCTCTGTGTGAAGCAGTGGTTCTCAACACACGGTCCCACTGCCAGTGCCAACAATGTCCAGAACTTGTTAGGAATCTTCTTACCTGATTTCTGACCCACTGAGGCAGAAGCACCAAAGGGGGCACACAACCTCCTACAGGTAGACCTCCAGGTGATTCTGATGCTGGCCACACCGGAGCCATGAAGCAGGGAAAGGCGTAAGGACACAGAACAGCTAGGGCCTTCGTTATACCAACCTCACACCCTGCTTCTAGGCAAGATCAGTCCAGGGCTCCCACAAACTCTGAGATCAAGAAGTACAGGCTTAGCCAGGCATGCAGGTGTATATCTGTAATCCCAGCACTCTGGGAGGCTAAGGCAGGAGGATCACAAGTTCAAATCCAACCTGGGCAACTTAGTGACTTAGTAAGACTGTCTCAAATTTAAAAATGGGGGAGCCTGGGGATGTAGCTCAGTGATGGCTCTGGGTTCAATCCAAAGTAGTATCAAAAAATGGAGGATGAAAAGGAGGAAAGGAGGGAGAAGTGGAGGCTAAAGCCCCTGGATAACATCATGTCTTTGAACCTATTTGCTCCCTGACCTCCGTGGAAGCCATGGCTGGGCCAGGAGAATGGGACACTGTCTGGTCTCCAGCACCTGGAGCACACCCAGTGCAGGAAAGCAGCTTCTGATATCAGTGAGGACATTCAAGGGGCTGAGTGAGTGGCTATGGCCCCTGCATCTGGCTAGCTGGGCTTGTCAGGAGGACAGATGTCCCCTGAAGACATGTCAGCAATGTTTCTGCTCCAAGATCCAGGTCAACCAGCTCTCAAGATAGGAGTGGCCCAGTGGACACCCTGTCCCAGGAGGAGAAATGGGGGAAGGCCACTCCCTGGAAAGCCAAAGGCCAGACCTTCTGGGACTGAACACATGGAGAGAGATGGGCTTCTACCAGGGGTCTGGGGGCTTGAGTTTCCCAGTCCCCGGGAGGCCTTGGCTCAGGGCTGCTAGGGCTGTTACACATGAGGGATTTGTCACCTACCTTTTCCAGTATGGAGTTTTCTTCAATGACACAGCTCTCATCATTAGTTAGAGGCTTTTTACAATTGCTGCGGGCAATTTCGACATCAATCATGAACTCCATGAGCCACTCTGTGAGCTGTCAGTCAGCAGAAGTTATATTTTAATTTTTTAAAGTTTGGCAAACACAAAAATCTCCCTGACTACCCTCCCTTCTACCTCCACACATCTTTAGGGGACAGATGGTACTCGCAGCTAGATCTCCTTCACACACTGAGACTGGTTCAGGGTCGCCCAGGACAGGCACTGGGGAAAGGTTTCTCTCCAATGTGGGCTTTCTCAAAGCAGAGACCTTCTGACCCATTTTCTGCCCAAACTCCAGAATGGGCAAGTTGCGTGCAGTGGGCGTGAGAGGAGAAGCCAGCTCCTTTGCCTGGCCCAGCACCTCTCTCCCACTCAGCTAAGAGGTGGAACAGCTGTAGGCTTAGGGTCAGAAATCAGTGTTGACGGAAGTCCTGTCCTCTGATGCAAAGGGCACCACGGGAGAGGCAGAGGGTCTGATTCTCCCTCACTCCATTGCTCATGGCAGCCTCCAAATATTTGAATTCAATTTTAGCTGAGCTCCAGGGAATTAGAAAGGTGGCTCTGGCCTGTCATGAAGGGGACACTGCAGGGACACCAGGAGTGGCCACAAAGCTAACCTTCAAATGATGCAGGGCGAACCTGACTGTCTTCAGGACACTAGTGTAGGCAAAGCATCCTCTAAAACCCCAAATGCTCCAAACTCTGAAATGTCAGAGCACCAGCAGGACACCAGAGCAAGACATCACCACTGACCTTGCCTGGAGGCCGTGGCCACAGCAGCACTGAAGGTGTAGCAGCTATACTGAGGATTGTGTATATCTGTCTTCATTCTATGAGTGTGAGGCGCATGTGAAACATGTGTGAGCTAAGTGTTTACACAAGCTGCCCATCCCCCAGACATCGAATTAGATTCGTGTAACTGTTCCAATGGCATCCGAAACACCTCTGGCCCAACGTGTTTCTGGCTCTCCCACAGTGCACCATTGTCCGGCTGACAGGCAACCATGCTCTTAACCGCATGCGTTCAGAATGCTGTGTGCCAGCACCTCCTCACTTCCTGTTTCTCCAGCAAAGCCCTGCCCAGGTCAGACCCCTTACCTGCATCTGGGCCTGCAAGATCTGGCTCACAAGGAAGATGTATTCGTCCTCACTCTCTTTGTTGTATTCCTGCATGGCAAACCACAGGCACTGCCTCATGTTTGCGTCTGAGATCTCGACAGATTTGAATGGCCTCAAAACCTTCAACGTGTTCTTGGCTGAGTATGTGCTGGCCACTAGGGCCACCTGGATGGTGAGGAGAAGCAGGGACAGTCCCCAGGGTCTGGTCATGGTCTCTGAATCCAGCACTGCCTCGTCCCTGGGGTGGCACTGTGGCTGGGTGGTTGCTCCTGCTACTCTGCTACAAAAGAGGATTAGCATGAGTCAGCTATAGGAGAAGGGTACACCTTGAGATCATAATGCCAAGTGAAATAAACCAAATAAGCATCCTTAAATATGGCATGATTTCTCTCATATGAGAAACCCAAAGAATAAATAAATCAAAAGGCAGAATAAAAGACAGATAATAAGAAATGGGGAGATAGAACTTTTGCAAATGGGAAGGAGGTGGGAGAGACGGAAGGGGAAGTAAAAAGCATGAGGAATGTAATCCCATGAGGAATGTGATCATTATGTACGGCAAATATGCACTAATAAAAATTTAAAATTTTAAAAATGTCAAATAAATATGGATTGGGATTATTCAGGAATACCAGGGCCTTGCAATGGGAATTGATCCTAGTAAACTACATGCATATTCTAGGAGGCTGAGACAGGGGCTATTCTTAAGGCAAAATGAGGGGCTCACAGTAGGCATTTTGAAGCAAAACCTCGGCTGCAAAAATCAACAGGGAGGTGGGATCTCCACAGTCACGGGCTTCCCTGCGAAGTACTTCCTGGGTAAGGTCATGGCAGCCTCTGCCCAGGGCAAGAGCTGTGGAAATTCTTCTGTGAATGGTTCTTTCCCCAGGTGCATGAGCTCAAGACCCCCTCCTTCAGAGTCGCCTGACTTTACCAACTTATTCCTTCATTTTGGTTGGGGCAGACATGTCCTACTCACAGCCATGGCTGCATGCAGCAATGCAGCCCTGCAAAGGTGTGAACGTCTAGCACGGCCATGCAGTTTTGAGTGATATATTTCATGGCCCTTTGCAGTGCTCGGTGTGCAAGTGTGGGCTGCATGGGGCCAGGGTTAGGCTGGGCAGGGGAAGGGATGGGGCAGGCAGTGCTAACCCTGCCTGCTGCACTGGCCACACAAGATAGGTTGATGGAAACCTTGTAGCAGACCTTACACATATGTGTGCAACTTGGTGAGCAATACACAGTGACTACTATAGGGGCTCAGTGACAAAAGCACATGCCCGGTAAGTGCAAGGTCCTGAGTTCAATTCTGGCTGCCCACCCCCCCAAAAACTACACAGTGATTACCAGTAACAGAGTCTCAGCCTATCTACATAGGCTACAGCCTATCTACATATCTACAGCCTGTGTGTGTACCAATGAAGCATAATAATTTATTGTTATTAAGCAGATGTGTAAACTTTCTAATTCAGTTATTAAACTCTGGCTTGTTTATTGATTTGGTAAAATAATTCAGAAAGTTAAAATGCTTTCTTAGCTCTGATATAGAAAGCTCAAAACAGCATCAGGTCATTATTTGCTCATGATGTTGTCATAGTTATGCATACATCATCACTAGTACTAGAAAATAAGTGACTGTTGATTTATCAGCTTTTGTAAAGCACAGTGTTGCAATCAGACATCCGACCCAAAGGAAAAGCTGATGAAATCTCAATTTTTACCAGACTTCTCTCTAGAGAGAAAAATCCCATGCATCCCACTCACTCCTCCTTGAGTCACCACTTTTTGGCAATGTGCACGTTTGTGGAAGATGATTTTCCAGAGTGGACTCCATAGAGTGTGAAATTCGAGTGAGCTTTCTGACAGCACCTGGGAGCACACTAAGAATCACAACCCCTCCCATGGAACAGCTAATGTGTTGATGTAACAAAGTGTAGCAGATAACCCACTGGTATTAGGTTTATTTTGCCTTCTCTAATGCTATAACAAAAATATCGAAGAATAAAGGAAGTTGGTGACTTATACTCACTAACCATGTTATCCATTTTAGGTTTGACCCAAGGTACTCCCTCTCCACTAAGTGTGGCCAGGGCCAACATGGAGGCCACACAGCCACCGGCTGGAACTGGACTGAGGCCCCCATGCAGATTCTGGCAGCCCCTACAGCCCGAGCCTCTCCTAAGGCCGCCCCATTGGCACCACCTGGCTGGGCTCATCCTTAGAGGGTTCCCTCCCGGCTCAAGAATCCCCACCAAGGGCACCTCAGGCAATCTCACCTACCTCCCCTCCTGTCCTGGGAATCTGTGCTCCAGAGCTGCCCCTGTCCAGTCAGGGGCAGGCAAGGGATAAGGGATGGGGCAAGCAGTGCCTGTGCCCCAGCCTGTGCCTGCCACCTCCCCCGTGGTCACCTGTACCTTAGCCCTGTATAAAGGGACTGTGAAAACTGTGGCCCGAGTGTCCCTTTCCTACCTGTCCTGCCACGGGCCTCTTCCTCCTGTGAGCTGGGTTCCAGCCAATGATCTGTGCTTCTCTGGTCCCCAGCACACTCAGCGCCTGGTCAAGGGCTCTGTCCTGCTTTTTGATCTGTCCCTCTCTGAGCCTAGGCCCTGCAGGGAGGTCACACATTGTGATGTGATCCAGCACCTATGACCTGCTTGGGAGGGGGCCTCAAACCCACTGACCTCTGCCCCTCAGAGGGCCACAGACAGCAGTAAGGAGTAACAGAAAGAGCTGCCTGGGATCTGTGGTCTGCCTGTGCGAGGAGCCAGCTGTTCAGCCACCAGCACCTCCCTCCCCTCTCTGTCACGCAGCCCACCTCATGTCAGCATCTGGGCCTTAGAGGACAGGACCCACAACCCCAGGCCCTCAGAGACTGCTTTTCTGTGCAAATCCTGCACCAGCATCCAACAAGTTCCAGGAAGGGTGGAGAGGTGGGCATCTGTCCTGGCTATAGGGATGAGAAGCTCCTGACCACGAGGAGGGTGATGGTGCCGACACCCTGGCAGCCTGCAGCGCACAAATGCACAGTTAACACAAGAGCTGTCTTGTGAGGCCACTGTGAAAGCTCCAGACACCATGCAAAGGACGTAGGGGGGAATTAAGATGAAAGCTTTACACAAATTCAAGCGCATGTTTAGAAACATACTGCAAGCATTACTTACTACTAACACGGTTGTGCTTTGTAACCATGTGGCATGTGAACAGCACTTGGAGTTTCAAGCACCTGGGCCGCACCACACCATCAGACCCAGAATCTCCTATGCAAGCTCGGGGTTTCTCACGCTCCCTGAGAGTACCCAGGTCCCTCTGCCTCTGCACCGTGTACATACTGGCACCTCTGGAACTGGTAGGCACCGGCTTACAGATGGTTTTTGGGTCACAGTTGGAGGAGAGAGGGATCAAATCATGACAGTTCTTGCCTCTCTGCCTCTTGGCCTTCTGACTGGTTATTCCTCAGCTCAGTAGAAGAAAACTTGAGTTGTGTGAGTTTGATTTGTGTTCTCAGTCAACAATAAGCATATTTTTCTTAGGATTTCTTCTGTTAGTGGCTCACTGGCTTAGGGTACCTGAACAATAGGTATGTGTTAAATGAATAATAGACATGACATCCATGAACAATGATGTTGGAGTACATTGACAAAGAGTATGGGGCCCATGAAGAATGGGCATGGGATCCTTGAAAATGGACATTGGTGCAGGAAAATGGACATCAGGTACATGTAAATGGACACTGGGTGCATGGACATGAGATACACGAATATGCCTGAGGACCATGAACAATGAAAATGGACATGAAGTCCATGAATAGGGTCTGGGTACATGTGTACTGAGCATGTGCTTCATGGAAATAAGCATAGAGTCTGTGGGCAGTCAGCATGGAGTCCATTTAAATGAACACAGAGTTCACAAAATTGGTATGAGGGTCATGAGCAAAGAACACAGGGCTTATGAAACAACAGCCCATGGAGCCCAGGAACAATAGGGTCTTGGGGAAAAGGCACGGGGCTCAGGAACAAGATCTCCCCATCCCAGGCCTGAGCACTTTCATGGCCAAGGACGAGTAGCAAATTAGCTTTGCTAAATACACAGATGCAACTTAGGGAAGTCAGCAATACCCTAACACATGGGAGGAGATGTCACACATCTTGCACACAGGTTAATCAAAGGACCAAGGCTGGTCAGGTCACCAACCTTGTGATTTACCCAGGGGCCACCCAGAGCTACTTCCAAGAACCCTCTGCCACCTGCACTATGACATAGGCACGGGATGGGTCAGTCAGGGGAAGGGCAGATATCTGCCAGAAGTTACTCAAATCAAAGTTCCCAAAGACCCAAGGTGGAGGAGGGAAGACCACTGGCCCTTCATTTTGGGTATTCCTGGCGTCTCTTCCCACAGGATCCAGGAGAGGTTTGTCTTTGGAGGTTTGTCATTACAATGCCCTTCTCCAGGGTAGTAGGACTGGCAGCCATGGAGGGGGGGGGCATATAGAGAGGAGGTAGGGATCATAGAGAGGAGGTAGAGATCATAGAGAGGAGATGGGAATCATAGAGAGGAGGTAGGGATCATAGAGAGGAGGTAGAGATCATAGAGAGGAGATGGGAATCATAGAGAGGAGGTGGGGTCCTGTGGTTTCTGAGGTTACCTTCCCACCCTGGAAGGTAAGTCAATCAGGCAGCCACAGTATCCATGAGGGTGTGACACCTACAGTCCCCCACCCATAGGAGTTGCCATTAGGAGCCCAGTCTCTAAGATGGGAGTAGAGGGGAAACAGGTGGCTGCTCCCCGGCAAACTTTTGCTTTCCTTTGAGTGGTGGGGTGAAGGGCATGGAGAAGCAGAGATGAATGAAGAAGTCATACATTCAGGGAAGAATGAATGAATGAGCACAGCAAGCAAAGAGCATACTGCTTCACAAAGCTTATTGAGCACTCCATAGCCACAGCTGACATGACAGTCGACCATGATGACAGATGATCCTGACAATGACATCCATAGCAAATAGCAACACGAGAGGGCACAGAGACTTGGTGAACTTTAAGTGTTATGAGAGGCTTTTAATTGTGCTGGACACCCCGAACTAGAACACAGGACTGTCACGCTCCAGAGGATAAGGATGTTTGTAAGGTTGACCAGGCCCTCCCCGCCTAGATCTGATCACAGGTGCTGTTCACGATGGAGAACTGGGTGATCCACTCCAGGGTCCGCACAAAGTAAGTGCAGCGCACCTGAAAGGAAGACAGAGAGCACAGTGTTAGAAAATGGGGGTGCTCTCCACTCCCGTAGAGCAGAGGTGTCAGAACCACATGTAAAAGAGGAGGAAGGAAAAAGAAAAAAGCAGGGCTGGGAATATAGCTCAGCAGAATCGCCCCTGCCTGGCAAGCAGGAGGTCCTGAGTTTGATTCCCAGTACCAAAAAAGAAAGAAAGAAAAAAGCTGAAACCAATATCAACCAGAGCCCCACAGCGGACAGAGGCTGCTGTTCCACCTGCTGAGCCCAGGTCCCAAGAGGGACTTTGGGCTGTCACTGGTCCCTGGGGCATCCTGTCCTCTCCAGCCTCCCCCACACCCATGCTGCTGCACAGACTGTCCCCACCAAGGGCCTTAATAGAGCCAGGAGCTGTCCTGTGGGTGCCCCCTGTAAGCAAGGCACACCCTCCCCCCAGAAGCTGCCCCTGATGGATGCTCTCCCTTGGGTTCCAAATTCACAACCAGATGCAGTCCGAGCACTCCAAGAGGCTGAGGCAGGAGAGTTGCAAGTTCAACCCTAGCCTGAGCCACTTAGCAATTTAGCAAGACCCCATCTTAAAAATTTCTTTTTAATTAAAAATATAAACGAGCTGGGGAATGTGGCTCAGTGCAAAGGCCCTGGGTTTAATTTCCAGTACCAGAGAAAAATATAAAGTAGAATAAAGTTCCCAGATCCTGTGGACCAGATGCCTGTCGCAGGATGGCACTGTCAGAACTCCGCCCAACAGGAAACGCGCTTGAGACCCCAAACTGGAGGGAGAGGCTGGAGCTCAAGGTCTTAAACAGCCCCCCAGCCCCAAGCATGAAGGGACCCCCAGGGACATCAGGGTCTGCTGCACTCGAGAGCATCAGGAAGGCCAGGTCTGTGGCCAGGAGCCAGGCTGCCTATGGACGGACGTTGTGCCCAGCATGGAGCACTGCAGCTGTGAGAGCAGGGTCAGGCCCTTGCTGCCCAATCCAGGGCCCCCCACCCTGGGCCTTCCTCACTGTCACTTCCAGTCTCAGAAGACCCGCTGCTTGGGGTGATTTCACCCTTGTACCTTCCTCCGTCCTATCTCCTGCTGCAGCAGGCAGTTGTCTAAGTCATCGTCTTGTTTCTTGCACATTGTACGGCCCATCTCCAGATCTATTAAATATGTCTCAGTAGAGAACTGCAAAGAAGAATGGGAGAGCCTGCTGTGAAACAATTTGTTGAAATGTGTCATACCAGCAGAACCAAAAAAAAAATGAGAGGGATCGAATGCGCCTATCAGTAAAGTGAGCATGTCAGGAGCAATGCCTCTCTTTGATTTCTATTTTTCCTTTTAATTCTCCATTCCTCTAAGGAAGGCTGTCCTGTGACTTGGTCATGTCACTCAGTGGCAGAGCATGGCTTTAGCATGAGTTTGGTGTGTAGCTCGGTGGTAGAGCATGGCTTTAGCATGTGCAAAGCCCTAGGTTAGACCCCAGCCCCAACAACAGCAATCATTCATCTAGGGCACCAAACACACGTGGGAGCCTGTCAGCCATGTCCCCACTGAGTCCTGTTGTGTGGGGTGACCTAGAGATGTTTGGGTGACACATCTGCACCGCCATACCCCACATGGCACAGGCACTGATGCTGCTCCTGCTCATCCTTCCATCCAAGGAAGTGGGGTGCTGATGGAGGCTATCTGCAGGAGCCTGGCTTCCCCTCCAGTGAGGCTTCACCACCCCCCATTGTGTGGGTGCTGCCCAGGCTGCTCCAGGGCCCAGTGTGACCAGCTGGCTGTCCTCACCCACCTTCACCTATCCCTCAGTTGGCCGAATCCCCACCCTCCCCCCCATGCTGGGACAAACTCCTAGGTCCCTCCTTGAGTCTACTGTGCCTCACGCTCACAGCAGCTGCCCTTGCCTGCCCCTGACCAAGGACCCCCCCTTGTCCTGGTCTCCAGCTTCTTTGGGCAGCATGGGCTGCTACAGACAGCAACATCTAGTGAGCAGCATGCTGCTCATCCAAGGACCTCATTCAGTGGAGTCCCTGCACCCTGAGCTCAGCCTCCCCTTCAGCACAGCTCCCCCTCACTGTGCCACCTCCTTCCTGTGCTTGCCATTGTCCCCTGAATACACCACTGGCCCAGCCCACGGGCATCTCCTGCTGGCCACTGCTGTTCCCAACCCTCCCATGGCTGGACTCTTCCAGCCCACGAGGCAGGGAGGGCTTCCCCCAACCACCCCCAAAACGGCCCTCGCTTCCCTCTGCCTCCTGTTTGTGACCCTGCTGTTCCTTTCTTTCCTGTTTTCTCACTCTGGGGCTGGGTCTGCTTGGCTCCTGCCTGCCTGGGGTTGTAGCCTAAGATGAGGTTTCCATCTGTTCCTATCCATGTGCTGCTGACTTCTTAGCAGCAATGCTGCCGCCCTCGGCCCACTCCCCTGCACCCCAGCACTGCTAGTCATTGTCCTACAGGTGCTAAACCTCTCCCTCTGTGTGGGCTCTGTCTGTGAGTGCCAGTGCCTCTGTGCCTGTCTCCTACCAGCTTCCTCTGCCTGCCCTTCTGCAACCCTGAGCACCGGGTGTCCCTCCCCTGGCTTCCATCTGCTTCCATTCCTCCTCTTGCCCTGCCTTCGCGGCTGTGCTCTTGCAAAATCAAAGCAGAACCTTAGTTCCTCTCATTAGACCTTGGCTTTCATTTTAAACGTGTGTCCAACTCAAAACTTAGAATCTTGCCCCACCTGGTTCCAGGCAAAGGTGGATCCCCAGAGACTTGGTCCACTCACCTGACGCTTGCTCCGCCAGATCCGCAGGACCTTGTAAAGAAACGGGTCCTCTTGGGCCTCATTGAACTTGAACACAACGTGCTCCACAGACATGACAAAGGCCTTCAAGTTCTTGTCGACGTACACGAATTTGTCAAGGCTGGAAAAGGTCCCCCACATAAGGAGCCCCACAAGCAGTGACACCTTCCGCAGCATGGCTGGCCCCTGTGCAAGCACCCAGCTGGGTCGTGCAGCTAAGGGCAGTAGTGGTGCGGACAGATAGCTCTTGACTCTGGGTGCAGGATTCCGCCCAGCCCCGCCTACCAGAGCTCTGTACTGCTGGCCACCTCCCTCTGCCACTCCCTGGCCTGAGCCAAGGCCATTGGCCATCGGTCATCAGCCATCACCAGGCAGCTCAGAGCAGGAAGAGGCAGCTCCCCCGCCCCGGGCTCAGGGACACTTGCACTGCATGCCTGGCACTACCAGCTCCAGCTCCAGCCCCTCGAAAGCACAGCGTGCAAGCCAGCAGCAAGCTCAACTCTGCTGCCTCCTGCCCTAAGCTGGGCCTCACCTATGTGCAGAGCAGGTGGGTGGTGGGACTCTGGGACCTGAGGGAGAACAAGTTCCAGGCTGGAGCTCTGCAGGGTAGGGAGTGGATGGCAGCCAGCCTGAAGGTGAGGGGCTGGGGACAGAAGACCTGCCAAGAGTGACCCTGGCATCCTCCCCCTCACTCCGCAGTGCCATGGCCTTTGTGCACACTGCATCCCAGTCTGTAGGGCCCAGCCCTGCCTGCCTCCTACTGAAGCTTTCCAGCAAGAGAACAACCACAGGGCTAGCAAGCTGGGGACCTGGGCAGATGCTCCCGGCCGAGGGTGTCAGGACGCCCTATGCCCTGGCCAAGCCTTGGGGACAGGCCACAGGCATAGCAGGGATGCCCCAGGAAGAGACAGGAGTAGGGATGGAGGGACTGGCAGTCCTGGAAGCCATCCTGCAGCTTCCAAGAGGAGGAAGACATTTTGAGATTGCTGACATTGTGGGGCCCCAGAAACACAGCCTATCAGGGTGCGTGCCACCCCAAGCTGTGTGGGCTTCCACCCTCGTCATCGCGTCTTGCCATGGCCTTTGTGCACACTCCATCCCAGTCTCTAATGAGGCAGGAGTCGGCTCAGGGAAAGGCTGGGAAGGCAGGGAGGGCTTGGCCACCTTGGAGCCAAAATTCAGGACTGGATCTGCCTTCTGAGTTAAGCATTTGCCTGGCCCAGGGCACTCAGGTCGGAACACAGTGGGAAAAGATGGCCAGATAACTTAGCTTACATACAGTGAATCCTGGGCAGGTGCCCAGGGGTCTTCTGCAACCCTGGCTGACCCCAACCTTGATGATCATGTCATTGACCGTGAAGATTTGGTCCTCAGGAGTCATAGCCATGACAGTGCCTCCAAGGGCCTCCAAGGGCCAAGAAAGGTCAGAAACTCCACTGATGACAGAGAGGCCCACTCAAACTGCCAATGGCCATATTCCTACCTAAGTCCATGCCCTCCATCCCTCCCCAAACCCCAGGTTTAAAACTCTCAGCACCAAGCCCTTTAGGCCAAGAGTTCCTGGCCATTCCCACCCTGTAAGGAAGACTTGTCTTTTCTCTTTCAGATAAATCACTGATCCTACTGCTGTCTGGGGCATTTGCTCAGGTCTTTGTTCAGCTTCGGCAACCTAGACAGGATCTTGACCCGGGAACAGTGGTTCATCGGGTTGGGAGGATGGGGTTGGTGACCTTTGAGGAGGAGGTGGCAGCAGTAATGGCTTCTCACAGAAGCTCCCAGGATGCTGGCCACACACCCCACATTCCATGAGCCCAGCTGGCGTGTGGCTCCGACCAAGGTCACAGGCGGCTTGGCTGCTGCTTCTCCACCCGAGGAGATGCTCAAGGACATTTCTAGGCGTTGCTGGGGATGTGAGGGCAGCAAGTGTGCAGCACGTGTGTCCTTAGGGTCAGGGCTTTTGTCACCAGGCAGATGGGGACAGGGAGCGGTGAAGAAGGCGGTCAGTAGCACAGGACTCAGTGGGCAAGGCCAGTGGGTCTGGAGCCTGAGGGGCTTGCTAACCACAGTGGGAACCCCTCCCCAGCCCTGGGTGCCTACTGTGTCAGGTGGCGATGCGGAGACAGCCGTGCTATGGACAGCACCCCTGCTGGGGTGCTGCTCATGCTGGGTGCCTGCCTCTGGACCATGGAAAAGGTGTTTGTGGATGCCAGTGAGGATACTGCGTCTCTGTGGCTCAGCTCAGCAAGGTCAGCTCTGAAGCCAACAAGTTCAGGATACCAGAGGGCATGTGGGCTGGGGGAACAGTGAGCACTATCCCTGTGTCCTGAGGACAGCCCTGAGCCTGAGCCTAGCAGGAATGACACTGGATACCAGTGGTGCCACAGATTGCAGTCCAAGGATGTGACTGGAAGGGCTTTCTGCCCTTGAGGCCCCTCCTGTGGCTGAGCAGTCCTGTCCGGGCGCAGAGCCTTTGGCACTGACCACTGTACCCTTCTATCCCTGCCACCTCTGCCACTGCCGTGCAGCCATGCAGCCCTCCACTCCGTGTAGGAGGGAGAGTGGAAGGGGACACCGGGGGAGAGAAAGGAGGGAGAGTGGAAGGTGACACAGGGGAAAAATATGTAACTCTCCACGGCTAGACATCAGATACAATGAGTTCGTGTTCCCGAAGTCAGAGAATGAATTGTAAGGAACAGTGAAGGTCAAGAGTAGGAAAATTTATTGGAGAATAGGAACGGGGAGCAGGAATGGCTCCTGAGAGATAGGAGGAGTCCCAAATGGGCTGCCAAGGAGCCTACTTCTCTGAGAAACTTTATAGAGCAAAATCACAGTGTGGGTACAGGGTGGGTCAAAACTACAATCAACCAATAATATTACAAGTGTAGCCACTTGGGTAATGTTGACCCCGCTGTCCCTGGAGTCCTCTCATGCTTGGGGCTGGGGACTGTTTGGTGCTTTTGTGCTCTAGCCTCTCCCTCTAGTTTGGGGTCCCCAAGGTGTTTCCTGTTGGGTGGGGTTCTGACAGTGCCATCCCCAGATCCTGGAGCCTGAGAATGGGGGTCCGTGCGCCTGGTGACAAAAGCCCTGACCCTAAGGACACACGTGCTGCACACTTGCTGCCCTCACATCCCCGCAGTCCCAGCAACACCTAGAAATGTCCTTGAGCATCTCCTCGGGTGGAGAAGCAGCAGCCAAGCCGCCTGTGACCTTGGTCGGAGCCACACGCCAGCTGGGCTCATGGAATGTGGGGTGTGTGGCCAGCATCCTGGGAGCTTCTGTGAGAAGCCATTACTGCTGCCACCTCCTCCTCAAAGGTCACCAACCCCGTCCTCCCAACCCGATGAACCACTGTTCCCGGGTCAAGATCCTGTCTAGGTTGCCGAAGCTGAACAAAGACCTGAGCAAATGCCCCAGACAGCAGTAGGATCAGTGATTTATCTGAAAGAGAAAAGACAAGTCTTCCTTACAGGGTGGGAATGGCCAGGAACTCTTGGCTTAAAGGGCTTGGTGCTGAGAGTTTTAAACCTGGGGTTTGGGGAGGGATGGAGGGCATGGACTTAGGTAGGAATATGGCCATTGGCAGTTTGAGTGGGCCGCTCTGTCATCAGTGGAGTTTCTGACCTTTCTTGGCCCTTGGAGCCCTTGGAGGCACTGTCATGGCTATGACTCCTGAGGACCAAATCTTCACGGTCAATGACATGATCATCAAGGTTGGGGTCAGCCAGGGTTGCAGAAGACCCCTGGGCACCTGCCCAGGATTCACTGTATGTAAGCTAAGTTATCTGGCCATCTTTTCCCACTGTGTTCCGACCTGAGTGCCCTGGGCCAGGCAAATGCTTAACTCAGAAGGCAGATCCAGTCCTGAATTTTGGCTCCAAGGTGGCCAAGGCCTCCCTGCCTTCCCAGCCTTTCCCTGAGCTGACTCCTGCCTCATTAGAAGCTGAGCATGGGGAAAGGGGTTCTTAACACAGGGCCTATGGCACTAGGTTGGACTCAGGGGTCTCTCACCCTTAAAACTATACACAGTATTTTATGTAAATCTTACTGAGCATTAAAATGGGACTGTTTATTAACACTGGTTTCCATGGGAGTCAGAGGAGAATGCAAAATTTTCCACAGTAGGCAAAGAAGCCACTAAAACATTCTCACTGAGGTTGGGGAACCAAACTGGTGAGGAGCAGAGGACTTGGGGAAGTAGTGCACACTTCCTGCTCTCCTGGCCTGGCAGCCAAGAAGCAGGGCAAAGACAGCCTGGGGTGGCAGGGATACCTGCAAGCCTAGGTCGAAGCCATGATGAGGAGCCCGTGAGTCTAGGCCAAAGCCACAATGTTGCTGTGCAGGCAGCGTCACCCCCACATGAGACACCTCTTCCTGCCTCACAGGTGCTTCTGACCTTGGCTTTGACCCCTGCAATGGTGAGGTTCTGGGTTGGAGCCACGCTGAGCCGCTGGCCATGGTCACTCACTAGAGCTGTGAGGGCAGCTCTGGTGTGGAGCCCAGGGCTACAGAACCCAGCCTGGCAGCTCTGCCCCACCAGGAGGCCCGCGGTGCCCACTTTCTCCTCTCCCGCTTCCATACCAGAAAGGCCTGGCAGCACGGTGGGTGGATGAGGTGGCACAGTCCGTGTGCTGCGGTCAGGCTGGGAAGGAGGTGCATGGGGTGAGTGTTCCCCCAAGGCTGGTGTGGAAGTCTGGGGACCAGGCTTGCCCTGCCACGCAGTCCCTGCAGTGCAGTTCCCTCTTGCTACCACCAAGGCAGTGGGGGCACCAACCACAACCAAGGCTGAGCAGACGCCCTCCTCCTCCAACTGTGTGTCTCTGTGTCTGTTGCAGGACGGGAAGCTGGCAGCACAGCAGCTCTAATACATCCCACGAGACCAGCGAGTCCTAGAGGGGACGGAGACTGAGTGTTGGCTCGGAGTCATTTGAAAGCTGGCCCAGGATGGAGGGCACAGTGGAGTTCACTGGAGAGCCCCAAGTGCCCCTGTAGCCCCTGTGCTAGGTAGGGGCCAGGGCTGCCCCCGTCACTCCAAGGTTGAGCACTGTTACTGCAGAGGGGAGGCCAGGTCTGGGCGTGCAGGGAGGAGGTGCCGGCAGAAAGATCAGAGGGAGGAAAGGGCATCAGAACCCAGAACTAGGGAGGATGTGGCACTGCCCACTGCTCAGTGGCCAGGCAGGAAGGCGAGTGGGTGGCAGGAAAAGAACCCACAGTCCCTGGCAGGAGCCGCAGGGAGTACTGGGGGCTACTTCCCTGGGCTTGGCACCTCAAAGGGAGGAGCTGGGCCACCCACTAGGGCCGGAATTGAAAATCACCAGATCTGCACGCAGAAAGGCACACAGAGTGCCCCATGATTAAACTGCAGGCATGCACTGCGAGGGATCTGTCTGAGTCCCTCCTGCCCCAATAGCCCACTGCTGGATGCTTACATCAGGATTTCCAGTGCAGTGACCCAGCAGCCAGGAGAGGGCAGAGAGGGCACACAGCCTCATCCCTCCCGGGTGGCTGTCAGCTCCACCTCCTGGGTCCCAACATGCCCCCTCTCTTGGCCCTGGACCTGCATCACCCTGGTCCATCCACCAGCACCATATCCTCCTGAGTGTGCATGTGTGTAAGTATATGTGTGTGGGTGTGTCTGTGGGTGCACGGTGTGCACATGAGTGTTCCTGAGCATGTGTGTGCCTGTGTGTGTAATGAACACTGTCTTCTGGGGAAGTGTGAGGTGGGAGTGAGCTGGTGTTGCTGGGGAGAAGCAGGGTGGGAGCCAGATGGGAGGAGGGGACAGCGTGGGTGCCACTGGCCGCACTTAAATCCCTGCGCAGGCAGGTGGCCTGGCACAATCACACTCCTGGGAGGTGAGAGGGTTGAGGGACAATGACCAAGTCCTGGCAGGCCCCACAGCTCCTGCTGGCCATTCTGATGGTGCTGGTGGCCTTCAGTGACCAATACAGGAGGAGGACCTTTGTTAGTGTGAATGAAGAGACGGCGGTGGACAATTTCGTTCCCGAGACCCTGTACTTCCTCAATGACCAGTACAACCGAGACAGCAAGGATGCATACAGCTTCCGGATCATCCGGGTGCTGCAGGTGCAGAGCCAGGTGGGTGTCTCACTCCCATCCTTTGCCAACCCTGCACCAGAAGAGGCCCTGGAGGCCCCCTGGCCCTCAAGATGCAGAGTTTTAGGAGAAACACACTCAAGGGGCTGGTGAAGCCGGCATTGCAGGGGTCCCCAAGGTGAAGAGCATGCAGTCACTTGCCCAGGGCCAGATGTAGCTGTGGTCTCCAGCAGCCCACAGAACTAGTGGGCCACGAGTGTGCACACCGTCTGCTGCCAGTCACACTCCCTGGTACAGGCACAGATGGTAAGAGACTACATGGCCCCCAGAGCCTAGAATGTGCATCATCTGCTCTTTCAAAGAAAGTCTGCAGGCCTGGAGCCCTTAGCATGGTTCATGCTACCCTAGGTAGCCTCAGCCTTGAGCAAGATGGTTCCTGGTGAATTCTCAGGTAGTGGTGGTCGTTATTGGCGAGAAAAGGTTTTGCTGAGTTGTCTGGCCTTGAACTCACAAGCTCACTTTTTTTATTTTTGAGACAGGATCTCACTATGTTGCCAAGCTAGCTTTGAACTTGAGGTCCTCTTACCTCAACCTCCTGAGTAGGTGAATTCTCTTTGAATAGCAAAAAAAGAGGCATAGAAACAGGCAAGAAGAAGAAAGACACCCACCTAGCTGTCCAGAACTGGGACCCTGTGCTGGGTACAGTGTAGAGCAAGCCCCCACGGGCAGCAGCCACAGAGAAGGGAGAAGAGGGCATGCTACACCTCTGGGCCTCCTCTGCCCACAGGTGACTGACCACCTGGAGTATCACATCAAGGTGGAGATGCGGAGAACCACATGCCTGAAGCCAAAGTTCAGCAGCTGCCCCCCTCAGGATGGGGAGCAGTACAAGGTACTGGGCCGACCTCGTTCGCGCTGCACTGCTCAGTGGGGTTCTCTTGAGATCCACAAGACAGCACTGTGTGGGTTTGCTCAAGCTTACTTGGAAGGACTGTGGCCTGCACCTCTTTCCTAGGAGAGGTGACACAGAGATGGGGATGACCAAGGCAGGGAACACTGGGAGTCAGCAGCCAGTGGATTCATCTGAGCATCCAAGTGACAGGGACAGACAGTCCTTGTGCTCCTGCCCCCAGGTCCTCCCAGGCAGAGCTGGAGCAGGGACAGGAAAAGAAATGCAGGGAGGACTCAACTCGTGGGGGCAAGCTGGGGAAAACAAATCCTGTGAATGGCCCTCAGGGAGAGTGCCAGAAAGGCAGCTCATCCCTCAGCATGCTGAGTGCTGACCACAGACATTTTCTAGAATGGCCCCAGCAATGTTCTATCAAGTGACTGAAAGTAAATGAATATCCAGACAGCTCTGGGTTGGAGGAGCAGAGAATAGGCATCATTTCCAGGCCTGACATCTCTGCTTTCTACCCCATGTGTAAATTTCACCTTGCATGTGGATCTTCTTAACTTGACTGTTTGTCTTTTAGTGAATCCAATGCTGCTCCTCTGATCTTTTTAATGGGGAGTTGTTCTCATGTTCTAGCAAATCAATTGCTACTTCTCGGTGCATGTGAACCCCTGGGCTGAAAAGTACAAGATCTTGAAGAAGGAATGCAAGGATCACACCTCTCCTGTGGCCACCACCAAGAAGGATCCCACAGCCCTCAGTGCAGATGATAAACAGGCCCGACCTCTCCCCTGACGACCTTCATGCTGTAGTTCCATTCTTTTTCTTTTCCCTCAATTCTTCAGTTTATAATATTATAATACAGGTGTATGCTGGGCCAACACAGTTTAGGGGGTCCAGATGAGTCTTTAGAGTTCAAAATAAGGCAGAAGAGAGAAGAATGAAGCATGCACAAAACACCTTAACAAGGCAACAACCCAAGAGTATCCACAGGGGAGTCTCAGGAACCTATGAGACTCCCCACTTCATCTCAAGTAGAAAACAAGGAGAATTACGCACACACACACACACACACACACACACACACACACACACACACCAAGGAAGAGAGACCCCCTTCTACAGCTCATCTTAACAAAGAAACAAGGTCACTACTTGGAATAGCTACAAAGGTTAAACACGATCCTGTATGTAAGTTGCTTAACCCCACACCTGCCCAGGGCAGGGATTCAAAAAATGCCAATTGCAGCAGGAAAACTGGTGAGAACAGTGTGGCAATGGTAGTCACTTAACATTAATCAGCAATCAACGCGTTACCCTTGGGTAGGAAAAAAAAAAAAAGAGATCTACCATTCTACCATTTGAGGCCATGAATAGCCTCTACTTTTGAGCCAAGGTTTGGGATTGTTTTCCCTTTGGTTTTGAAGTAATTACATTTTTGCAGGAATTTGCGAGGGCAGTGCAGAGAAGTCCCCTGTGTGCTTCCTCTGTTTCCCCTGATGGCTCTGTCTTATTTTTACAGTCCAAACCTGGCTGCTGTCTCGCATAGTCAAAGACGAAAATTGTGGACAAAGGAGGGGGTTAAAGGGGGTGTGCATTGGGAAAAAAAAGAACACAGAAAGCTCGTGGTAGTTGGGAGAAGTCCCAAAATGGGGCTCCAGAGTGGGTTCTTTGTCCAGGCTCTTTTATGGATAAGCAGAGCAAATCTGCTTAGTGTCCTGTGCTCATTGTCACAGGTAGCCTCTTGGGTTTTCTGTAATTCAGAGTTCAGAAGAAAAGCAAGTTACTCAGTATCTTTTAAATTCTTGGAAACCTGACCTGGGTGTATAGAGATGTGATTAATTCAGGGCATTCCATTCCACTTAAAGAATTCTTTTCCCAAGGGCAGAGTCCTCACTGCCTGCCCTTATCTTAACACTTACCGTTGATCTTATATTTCTGAGTTTAGCTATCTCAATGGCTTGAGTTAGTGTTTAATCTGAGGTACCTGCTGGTTTCTTCGTAAGGCTGACCATCTTGGGCCCTGTCCCTTGCTAGCTATCTATTCATAAGGTAAATGGCTAAACTGTCTTGTAAATTATGGAATTATAGAAAAACATCACAACCAAGAAGTCAGCCTTGGAATATGTGCTAGACAGCTCCCTGTTGCTGAATACCTAAAATCCATAATCTAGAGCAGGAAAGGTTTATTTGGCTCTTGGTTTTAGAGGCTGCAGTCTGTGGCTGGCTGGCTCTGAGGGAGAAACATAATGGCAGAAATGTATGATGGAGGAAGCTGCTTGATGCATGACAGCCAGGAAGCACAGAGAGGAAGAAGAACCAGTGAGGAAGGGATAGGGGACAGGCATATTCAAAGTCACATCCTGTGACCCACCCAGACGCAACTGGAAGTGTACTCTACCAATCTCCTGGGTGTCTCTCCAGCCAACTGAGTTGTCAAGATAAGCATCACTGTACAGTGTGTGCTTGTGTGACTTTGTCACAGATATGCATAGCCAGTCCATCTCAGGAGCCCCATTGTGCTGTCCCAGCCAGGCTTTTGCATGACCTGTGCATCACAGCTACCAGCTGACTCCAACCTTGCCTTATGTCAATAATAAAAAGCAAGATGGATGGGGTGAGCAAAGTTCTCAGAGTAATGTCATAAAGTTTAGTAAAAATTATGAAAAGTGTAAAATGACATTAAATAGAAATAGAACAATTAGCCTGACCACATAAATAAAGGATGTAAATTAAATAAATTAGAATAAGCCTTAACGAGGCTTAAATCAGTGAGTACTTAATATTAAAAAGGCAAGTTAAGGAAAAAAGTGTGAAAATGCCAATTCTATCACTAACCAGTTCTCTCAGTGTGAACCCAGCAGTCACATGCGTGTGTGTCTGAGACAGACAAGAAGCACCTGACTCATTTTTCCCATGTAGGTTGCGGGGAGGTTGGCTCACCCTGTGCTTGTCATGCCCCTTCCCCTCACGCTGCTTTGTTTCCCCTCATACCCCAGTGGACTGGGATTGTGTGGGCTCACTGGAGGGCCCAAGGGAGATTTTTGCATGTGAGGTTCCCAGGTTAAAGAACACACATGTGCAAGACATCAGCAACAACAGCAGGCAGCATGGCTCAGAACAAAGCACAAGAGTGCAAGGGTGCAAGAGCTGCCTGTGTCTTTATTTTGTAATTCTTACACATGTTGTTATCTCATACTTACATTCTTACATAGTGGTGTAACCAACACACGCATGTTTTTCTGTGCTAAGTCATGGTTACAGAACTCTGTCCCACTGTGCGCTTGTGCCAGACAAGTTGGGTCATGTCCTCAGGTATCTTTAGATGCCCCTGAGCTTTGAAGCAGTCTGATAGAACCCAGTAGAATCCACCTATAGTGTCCAGCAGCTTGGCTGTGTCAACTGTTGGCATCCAGCATTGTCCAGTGTTATCTGGTGACATTAGGACTGCTGGCAGAGCTGTGCTTTGACAATTTACAGTTTCCATCTGAATCAAGCAAAAGAATCCTAGGCTGATGGGCAGCGTGCCCACCATTAGATACACATGCACAGACAGCACAAATAGGCTGAGGGGAGGAAGCCAGATACGGAGAATCTCCCCAACTCAGATGGACGCTGGAATCTGGATCTGCCTCCCTCAGCAGCTCCTGTCCTGCACTGCGGAGGAGAAAGCTGTCTTCCCACTGGGCTACTGGGATGGTGGTGAAGACCCAGGGGCAGGAAGTGTGCAGGACCAGAGACCCAGCATTGGGCAGTGATGTCACCAGCCCTGTGCCTCCCTACATCCCTCCTCAGGCTTTCTAACAAACTCAGGGTCTTGTGGGTTATACATTCTGGAGGTGCCCAGTATTGGCAGGGGAGTAGCCTGGGGCTGGGGAGGACAGGAATGGTCTGTGGTACACAAGCCCCCTACTCAGTGACACCTGAGCCCCACAGTGGCCAGGCTGAAACTTTACCCCTCATCTCTGAAGTCATGGGAGGGGAGCACCCAGGATCAAGAGATGTCAGCTCAGTGACCCACTGTGTAGAAAGGAGATCACTCAGGCAGACTGGAGTCAGGACCCCACACTGATGGAGACCCCCAGCAGCAGACCTTGGGGCCCTGTACAAAACAGAGGGCCCTTGCTGAACCATGCTGTAGCTCTGGAGAGTGGAGTCTGCCACGTGCCAGGCAGAGATGTCCATACCTCCAACCCCAGCAAGGACCTGGGTCCAGAGTCTCAGATCTGTGTCCTCTCCAGACTACACAGCATCAGTGTTATCAGTGTTGTTAAAGCTCCATACGGAGACCAGGCACTGCCGGCGCCTGCACTGAGAGACTTCCCCATGCTCCACTTCCTGTGCCTGGCTGTGTCACTCTCAGCCCCAAAATCAACTGTGCATTGGGGCCTGTGTGACCTCTAGGGACTCTCTTGCCTACGTTTGGTTCAGGGACCCCAGACATGCTCGCCACGACATGTGCAAGTCACAGTATTGTGTGTGTGGACAGCACACAGGGCTGCCCTGCAAGTGGGCCGAGGCCAGGATGTGCCTGAATCCAGAAAAGCTCAGAGACCTGCTTAGGTGAGAGACAACCAGGGATCCCCGGGGTCGCACCCCAACTGCTGAGTGCGCCACATGTATGAGGTGGGAATGTGTGTGTGCATGCCTAGAGTGAGTGAGCATAAGAGTAGGGGTGTGAGGGTGTGAGGCTGCGAATGTGTGCACTGAGGGTGTCCCTGGTGAGGGTGTGGCGTGTCTGGTTTGTGAGGGTGAGGAGCAGTGGCTGTGCATGTGAGTGCATGTGTGTGTGCATCAAGACCCCAGCGAGCTGTCTGACATGGTTGTGCAGAGCTTTATCTCGGCTGGTGCCCAGTTCTGCCATCTGAGGTTCCACTCAGTCCTCCAGGCAGGAGTTGTTCCATAGCTCAAAATAATCTAACCAGGGCACCGTGTAGATCAGCGACTTGCAGACCAGGCTCTGAGGAAGGGAAGGAAAGCAGGCCCTGAGCTTAGGGAGGGACACATTTGGAGGCAAGGCCACCCTGCTACTTGCCGGGACAGGAGGTAGGGCTCAGGGATGGCAGCCAGCAGAGTGACTCTGTCTTTCCCCACTGCACACCCACTAAGGTGGTGCCACCAAGGGCCAAGAAAGGCAGAGGAAGGGCAGGACTGAAAGGAGGGAGGAGGGGGACGATAATACATCATCAGCCTCTGGGAGCGGGAGCATGAGGCCAGGTAAGGCCTGGGAGGGAGCAGAAAGGAGGGCAGCTGTGACTAGGCCAGGGCAAGGCTGCTCCAGCCCGCCGTGCTCTTGAGGAGCCTGCAGCCCGGTCTCAGGGTGGTGGGAAAAGCAGTCATCCAGGAGCGAGGTTCCAACACCCACTCCCTCCCAGCCTGAATCCCCTAGGGTGGCCTCACCTTCTTCAGCTTCTTGCTCTGCAGGGGGCAGGAGAGGCTGCTCTGGACCATGCCAGTCCTCTTGCACATGGTCCTGCCGATCCTCACGGTGACCAGGTACTCCACACCTGTTGTCAGCTGCCCGGAGGAGCAACATGCTGTGCTGAATTTCCTGCCTCCCAAGGGAGGCTGGACTGGGACTGAACCCCCAGAACCACAGCCCTGCACCCAGTGCACCAGGCTTAGCTCTTCCCTCCCTGCCAGTGGGTGTGGTGGGATAGACTCTGAGAGGCAATCAAGATACTGCATTCTGGATTGGTTTTGTCTGGGCAGCCACAGAGGCTTCTCACTGGTCTCCATCTGTCCTGGGGACAAGGAAGTCACCTAACAACTACAGACCACCTCCAGGGGACACAGGCTGCTCACAATGCCAGGACCCACCCTGCTGCTCTCCTCCTGCCAGCTTGAGGGTACCACACTGATGGGCACACATGCCACCCATTGACTCTGACCCTGAGCAAGTTACTTGCCTACCTCAGTTTCCCCATCACAGTCCCATGATCGTTGGGTTTGCTGGAGGCATTATTCTGTGGGCTAAGGGGTATGTGCCTTTCACTTAATGCACAAAAGTGTATAAATTAGTCAGTGTTTCAGCAGTTTCTGGACTGCTCCTTCAGAGTAGATGTGGGTTAGTGGTGCTACAGGGAGAAGACAGACCCTGTCCTCCGAGGTGTGCAGGAAGGAATAAGGCAGCTCAGGACCTTACCCATACTGAGCTGTGTCTCCTGTTCCTTGTCTAGGAGGAGGAAGTTGGGAAGGGCAGTCACTGACCAGAGTGACCTCTATAGGCAGGGCCGTGGTTACTGTCCTGGGGGACAGAGCTGGGCCATCTGGGTGAATATGTGGGTCAGGAGCTTTGCACTGCAAGGGCAGCTCCTGGGGCCCCTGGCCCCTGCTCAGTCTCAGTGGTCAGTGGTCAAGCAGTACACAGTAGCTCAGTCCTCCCTGGGATGGGTGATAGCTTGGTGCCCACCCTACTCTTTCAGGAGACACCCTGGAAACTCAGCTCCAGCCCCTGGGGATTTGGCCCAAGGGCAGTGCCAGGACCCAAATCCAGCTCCAGCCAGAAGCCCCCCAACACCTGCCCTCCCATAAAAGCCCCAACCCCAACCCATACCCTACATCTTGAGGGGCTGTGCCCAGCCCTGTCACACCTGTGCCTGCTTGCTTTGTCAGGGAGAGACCCAAGGCAGTGGCTACATAACCAGCACTCCAGAGTGTGAGGTACTGTCCTGTTCCTTACTGGACCTGACTGTTAGGTGAGAGTAGGAATGACCCTAAGAAAGCAAACACCAAAGCAATCTTATAGGTTCCTCTAGATAACAGTGCTAGGCTCAGCTCTTCCTCCTTATCTTGTTGTCCTTGGCAGGTGAGGAGACTTCAGCTCACAGAGTATGGGTGACATTTTCTCAAGGTCCTCCAATGGGGAAGAGCTGGGCATCTGACCCCAGCCCCCATACCAGCCTATAGGACCTGCTGGGAGGCACTGGACACTTGCTAAGGGTCTGGGTGTAGGGTGCTGCCCTGGGACAGCCCCCCTCTGTCTGCCTGTCATCAAACTGGTGTCAGGAGTGATAAGCCACTTCCCATGTTAGCCATTAATGAGGACGGATGATTTCTCCTGGCAGCCCCTTTGGGAGTTTGCGCAGGGAGTCTGCGCAGCCCTGGAAGCCAATCAGGAAAGAGCGGGGAGGAGGACTCCTGCCCCCTGGTGGTAAAGGTACAAAATGGGGACGGGGAAGAGCACTGTCACCAGCCCTGCCCTCCTCCTGGTATCTGCTCCTACAGTGCCTGCCCAGCTCAGCTTTAAGCTCTCGCTGGTCTTTGCCCCAATCAGTTACTTCCCCAAATCTAGCTCAATCAAGCATGACCTGTCTGTGTCCTAACTCCCGTCCTGTACTATCTGACCTTGAAGGGAGGCTGGGCCAACAAGAGCAGTTTCCAGGCAGCTCTTCCCTCCTCTGTCATCCTTCACTTTCCATTTTTCAGTGAAATGATGTGAAACAAAAGAGGAGGTGATGTGGTTGCGGTCTCTACCGCACTCCCTACCCGAGCCTCCCCTCAAAGCCCCTCTGGAATCCCGGGTGTCTGCAGAACACAGAAATTCAGTCTGGATTCTGCAACCCTGGACACTGGAAAAACATTGCTGGGAAGGGAGAACCATGTTTGCCTTTTGCCAAATGAGACCTTTAGAGAAAGCAAACCATCTAGGGTGCTGGGATCCTGGTGAGACCTGGCTCCAGGATGGCAGGCAGCCGTCCTCATGGGGCTGCAGCAGGGACAAGGACCCCACTTCTGACTGCCAAGTCAGGCCAGCAGGTCAGTGTACAGCGACGGAGGCTCTGGGCTGAACGACTCCATGCAACCCTTCCTCATGAAACTGCACCCCGCCCCACCCTGTGTGGAGTCTCTGTCACCTTGCTCTCTCTGGAGTCCACCAGGAGCCCTGAGTCTAAGATGGCAGGAGCATGGGCGCTGCCCCCCAGGGGAACCCCACTAACCTGCACCTGAGTGCGGAGGAGGTTCTGCACCCGGAATAGGTAGGTGTCATTGCTGGCATTGTTGTAGGACTGGATGAAGAAGTTCAGGGTCGAGTTCACATTCTCTTGGCTCATGGGCTTCTCCTGGAAGCCGGGCCACCCATCAAAGTGGCCCTGCCTCACCAGGACCAGGGCCAGCAGCAGCAGCCAGGGGCTCCTCCCACCTCCAGCCTCCATCTCTGCAGCCTCGAAGACTCCTCACCCAAGACTCAGGCTGTCCAAACAGAGACCCGGGCCCTGGCCGCTCTTTCCACGGTCCAGTGCAGACCCCCAGGGAGCCTCCCTGCATGGCCACCACTCTGCCTGGGCAGCAGCCACCCACTTAAACACTGTACTATCTTTCCATGGCCCCACAAGGGGCATCTCTGACACCTGCCTGGGTACATGAGTCCTTCCTTACCTGCTGCCTGGCAGGGAGGGAAGCTGCAGAACAGCCAGACCATGCTGCAAGAGAGGTTGCTGGGTGGACAGAGGGGCACGGTGCATGGGAAAGGGCAAAGGCCCTTGGGCAAGGTGCATTTGAGCCTAGCTGGACGGACTCAGAAGTGCGGGGCTCAACTGGGTGAAGACTGTACCTAGCTTCCCTTGGCTTCCTGTGACAGGCTGTCTGCACTCACCTGCCCTGTGTGCCTCAGAGGTCTGCCTGCTGGATCCCACTGCACCTGAGGGCAGCCCGCTTCCTTGTTGTGACCTAGTGAGCTTTGTGAGGTAATCCTAGCCTCCCATGGCAGAGGAGGAGGCTGAAGCTGATGCAGAAATTCACCCAGCAACCCCTGGAGTTGGAAGCCCACAAGAGCCCCTTGTATAAAGCACTTGCTGAGGTGGCATTCTGCTCCAGGAACAGCACTGTGGATGCTGATGGAATGAGAGTGACACTGCATGCCAGCTGGTGCTGCATGAAGGTGACATTCCTGCCCCACCACTGTGTTCACAAGAGAGGACTCTAAAGCTGCTTCAGGAAGTGGCAGGGGCCATGGGGTTGAAGTGAGGGGAGGCGTTGGAACGGGATTGGTGGCAATGCATCCTTACTGGAGTAAATTTTTTAAAATTGAAACATCTCCGGATATTTCCACCCACCATGCATTTATATCAACATCATATCCTGGCTTGAGTCTATTTATACACAGGTCACTTCAGGGGAAAGGAAGCCTGAACCTGTTGGGGGGAGCCTAAGGCAGCCCTGGGGCTCCACACTGCTTCCTGGGAACCCACCCTTACCCATCCATTGTCACCGTGCCCCTTGTAGGGGCACATGACACACAGTCACCTGTGAGCCCTGCATCTATAAGCCAACCACCTGCAGACAGAAAGTATTTCAGCAACGAAGAAAGTCCTGTGCTTCCTGGACATGTAGAGACCCTTTCCCTGTCATTCCCTAAGCAACACGGAAAGACAACTGTTCATACAGCGTGGGGGTCGCACTGGGCACTGTGAGGGAGATGGGTACTCAGGTCTGGGGAGGACTGTGTAGGTGCCACGCAGTGCCACACCCTTCCTGTAAGGGACATGAGCACCAAAGCAGGGCTGTCAGCAGGGGCCCTGGAAGTCAGCCTCACAGATACCAGGGACAGCTGTACCCCACTGGCAGGCAGGCTGTAGCAGCTAAGAGAGGATCATGGTGTCACTGCTCCTTATCATAAGCCTACATTGGCTTCTGGAATCTTCTTTTCACCTTAGGGGGCAAATGAGCCCTGCAAACAACAAGGCTGACTTCAATTGGTTTCTTTTCTGTTTTTCTTTTTTTGGGAGGTAGGGGTTGTTTATTGAGATAGAGTTTCAATATGTAGCCAGGCTGACCTTGAACTCCCAGTGATCCTCCTGCTTCAACCTCCCAAATGCTTGGATTACAAGCGTGTGCCACCATACTCAGCCTCAGCTGTTTTCGTGTCCTCACACTTTCTTTAATCATCCTTAATCATTATCTCCCCCAAATACTCCTGCTCCTCCCTGGCTGCTGACCTAGAGCCAACCCAGGCAAGAGGCCAATCTATTTGAGACCAACTTACTGCCAGGTACCTTCCTGGACGACCCTTCTGGAGCAGTCAGGAGTGGGTGACCTGCCCTAGCACTCCAGGTGTGGCCTGGCCTCTCCTCCCGGGCCTGCTGCAGGGGTTGCAGACGACCTTGGCTGGACAGACCCTATGGCCCCAAGAAGCAGGCTGCAGCCGGAGTGCAGAATGCCAGCGCCACATGTGCTGCAGGTGGCCCAGGCTGCATCATCCAGAGGGCTTGGGTTGAGGAAGCCGAGATGTTGCCAGCCAGGGAGGCAGAGCAGCCTCATTGCTGCTTGGGCTTCCCCTGGGGACCCGAGATAGACACGGGCAGCCACCCTATTCCTCTGAGACATAGGAAGGCTCCCTAGCTCCTGGACAGCTATACCATCTAGGGAGCCACCCCATGCCGTCTTTCCTTTTCCTTTTTTATTAAAAAAAAAAAAAATCAACACATACAAATTCCCTATGATGAATGTGATTATTATGTATCTCTGAAATGCACCAATAAATGTAACTTTAAAAATCAACACATAATCATTGTACATGCCTTGGGGCACAGTGTGATATCTTGATATAATTTGTAACATTCAAATCAGAGCATTAAGCATTTATCTCAAACTTAGCCTTTCTGTGTGTTGGGAACCTTTGAAATACAGAGGACCAAGTGTGAGCTGAAGTAAGCCAGCCGCCAGGAGGAGCTCGCGGTCTCACTTGCATGTGGAAGCGGAAAATATGGGCTTGTAGAGAAGAGAAAAAAGGAGAGCAGGGAATGACTGGATTGCAAGCGCTAAACTACAGGGAATAAACAAACAATGTGTGGGCGAGGATGTCGGTAAAGGGGAATAGGCCAACCAGGGGCCCCCACTGTCCCATCCTGGCATAAATCCAAAAGAAGTGACATCTGCACACACCTGTGTGCTACCTCCCTGTCCACAGTAGCCATGGTATGCAATCAACTGTGTCCACCAGGGAAGTGGACAATGAAAAATTGGTGCATATCCACAGTGCAACAGTACTCAGCCATAAAAAGGAATCATACCTATTGCTTGCAGCAAAATAGATGAAATCAGAGGATGTTATATTAAGCAACGTAAGTCAGATGCTGAAAGACAAATACTATGTGGACGCTCTTTAAAAAGTAGGTCTGCATGTGGCACCGTGAGCACCAGAGCTTGGGGAGGGTGGGAAGAGGGATAAAAGGAGACAGGATGATGTGTACCTGCACACGGTTATGATAGAAGAAGCAAGTTCTCATGTTCTACAGCACAGCAGCTGGCTACAGTCCCAATGGCTTATTATATATTTTATGGATAACTGGAAGAAAGTTAGAGTACACCAGGGAAATGTGAGAGGAAGTTGAGTCACTGGGATGAGCCCTACAGGGGATCCTTTGGCCTCAGAATCCTGGCTGCTTTCTTCCTGACTACCTGCAGTTGAAAAGGCCTCCGTCACCATGCACTCCTCCATGATACGCTAAGAGTACCACCTCAGGGCAGGCTCTCCGGGGCGAGGCTACCATGGGCCAAAACTTTGAAGTCCTCAGGCCCCCTCTTTGAAAGCAGATGAAAAGCAGGTGCATTCTGTAGGCCGCCTCTGCATCTCTGTGAGCAGATGAACGTCCTGCCAAGGACAGCCCAACCCTACTGGAATGCTCTAAACCTGAACATTCAAGGCCTTGGTCCATTTTTTCAGCATGGTTCTCTGGGTTGCATTGATTTGTAGGATTTCTTCATCCTTCACAAACTCCTTTCAAGTATATATGTGGCAAATATCTTTCTCTGAGTTTTGGCTTGTCCTTCATTTTATTTAAGGCACAGTGGTGAACAGAAATTCTTAACCTCAGTGAAGTGAAGATATTGATTGTCTCTCTTCTGGTTTGCATTTTGGATGTCTTACTTAGGAACTCAAGGTCACAAAGCTACTTAAATGCTTTAATAAAGCTACTTTCCTGGATTTTCTTCCAAAGATATCAAAGTTTAGCATTACCCATGTATGTCCAAAATCCACCTGGATTTTGTGCATGATGTGTTTGCCAGTGTTTAGTTCAGATGTGTTTTACCTCTGGTCGCAAGTAAGACTGGCTGCGGTTGTCATGTCCGACACTGTCCCTTCCTGGTTTGGGTTTGGGGTCATGCTGGCTTCACCCCACAGGTGGGTGCATGTAAGTCATGGTCTCCACTGTGACAGACACATGGGCAATAGACACCCAGGGAGGGTTTGTGCACAGGACATCTGCAATGGCATAGGCACAGGGCAGTCATCTGCAGTGAGTGGCAGCTGCCATACTAGTAGTTTTAGGCCCAAAAGGGAGGGGAGCTGGGGCCTGGAAAGAGTCAGGACTCATCAGCTGGCCACTGTGTGGAGCAGTCAGGGAACAATTATTGGGACCTCTCCCTTTCTGTCCTTCACCCACGTCTGGGCACCTCAGTGGACAAGCACAGTGAGACGTGACAAGACTCAGGAGCCCCAGTGACAGAAACCAAGCTGCCGGTATTCAGAGGTGTGTTACTCAGGGTTCTGCAGAGACACCCAGCCACCAAAGATGAGCCTGAGTGTGAGTGTGTGTGTGTGTGTGTGTGTGTGTGTGTGTACACATGTACAGAGTTATTGTGGGTGACTGGCACAATAACAAAGGCTGAGAAATCTACAGTCGCCATTTGCAAGCTGGAAATCCGGGAAAGCCCCTAATGTAAAGTCACAACAGCACAGAAGCAGGGTGCCAAATGGGCTGTGGAAGGGATACCCTGCACAGTGAGCTGGGACAGGCAGGACCTTGGCTGGGAAAGTGAAGTTAGAACCCTCATCGTTCTTCTTGAGTGTCCACGCAGATGTGCAAAGGACTGCACAGGTGTTGCTTCTGGGATTACAAATAAACTTGGAGGTAAGTGAATTTACACTCATGGAACCCACAGATAGTAGGGATTGGCTGTATTCTCAAAGCCTGTCCTGTGGTGCAAGCTTTCCTGACCATGGAGAGTTGCGAGCACTGACTTTACCTGAGCCCGGGCAGTGTGGTCAGCTGTGAGCAAACCCTCTTGCTCCTCAGGACAGACACAGCATTCCACATGAGCCAAACTTGACACAACTCACACCCACTACAGTGGAAAAGGGTTGTGCAAAATATGATGCATTCACCTGTTTGCAATCAACAGTTACTGCTGTGTCAGGTCAGTCTGGATCTGAAATGTTCTCCAGCACTCATGTGCTAAACAAGGCTCCGTCCAGCGCTTGGGATGCTTTGGGGAGAGGGTGGAATTTCAAGAGGTGAGGTCTGGTGAGAAGAGGGCATAGGGTCACTAGGGGTGAACCCTTCAAGGGGGGATCCTGGGGCCCCAGATCCTTCCTTGCTGCTTTCTTTTGGGCCACCAAGAACCGAACAGGTCTCTGTCACCACACGCTCATCCAAGATGTGCCGTGCCACTTCCAGCCCAATGCAATGGGACGATATGACCATGCGCTGAAGGCTCTCAAATCGTCACCAAAAATAAACATCTCCTAGCTTTTCTCAGGCATTTTGTAATAGCAATGGAAAGCTAATACAGGTCATTTAACACTAGGAACACATTCTGAGAAATCACATTCTAGGTGATTTTGTCCTTGTGAGATTATCACAGAGTATACTTACACAGACTAAGGCTTATTTGTATTTACTTGAGCTACTGGCTACTACACCACTGTGCAGGACAGTCCAATGGGACCACTGTATATATGTGCACCATCACTGGACAGATTGTCATCATGTTGGTCAGCAAAATACTCAGGACAATCAATTCACAGAGAGACAAGGTTTCTCTTGGCTCATATTTTTGAAGTTTTAACACATGGTTGATCTGGTCCATCTGTTGATTTTGGGTCCGTGGTCAGGTCACCTCTGACAAACAGGAAGCAAAGGGAAGAAGGAGAGGGGTCCCAATATCTCCTTCAAAGAGGCCTTAATCTCAAAGACCTGAAGTCTCCCACTGAGCCACATCTTTTAAAGTTTCTCTCCCTCACCCCCTGCCTGAAGAGTGCCGTGCTGAGGAATAAGCCTGTTATGGTTTTCTTGATTTGGGTTTTTTCTCTTTTTGTCTTTTTGAGACAGGGTCTCACTATGTAGTTCAGGCTGGGCTTGAGCTCACTTTGTAGCCCAGGCTGGTCTTGAACTTGCAACGATCCTCCTGCCTCAGCCTCCTGAGCACTGGGATTACAGGCGTGTGCCACCACACCTAGCCTGCTATGGTTTAGATCTAAAGTGTTGCCTCAAAAGTCTCATGTTCAGATAAAGGTGGGGTCAGAAGGGTGGGGCCCTGGGGCTGTGACCTGAAGGGTGTATTCTTGTGCTCAGCTCCTTTCTTTCTCTCTGCTTCCTGGATGCCATGGAGTGAGCAGCTTTCCTTCACCAGGCCCTTCCACCAAGCCTTCCTCCAACCCCTTACTGTGTTGGAGCCAATAATGGACTGAACCCACTGGAATCATAAGCCAAGTAAATAAATCTCTCCTCCTTTAAGTTATAGGCACTGGGTATTTTGTCCCAGCCATGAGAAGCGACTAAGACAAAAACTTTAACACACAGGTCCTGGTGGGTGGTGGTGGTGGGGTGTTATTTCAGATCCAATTATAGCAGTTGTTAGGTGGTCTTTGATGAAAAGTACAAAGATTTGCAGCAATACAGAAAATGTGTTCATAAGCAAGCAGAAGAGGGGCATAGTGGTGCAAGCCTGCAACCCCAGCACTTGGGGAGGCTGAGGCTAGAGGACAGTAAATTTGAATTACACCTGAGCAACTTAGAGAGACCTCATCTCAAAATTTTAAAAAGGGCTGTGGATGTAGTGCAGTGGTAGAGTACCCCTGGGTTTGAGCCCCAGTGCCAAGAAAATAAAACCACTCCAAGCCTACACCTTGAATATATATATGAACTTGAGAATGACATTAGATAGGAACATACGTTTTAAAAACAAAATAACCTTGTTAGGTATGTAGAATTATGATGAACAGATTTTTCCCATGATATTTTTGAATATAACATTTAAAAATAACAACAATAACACAAAAGGTAATCAAAGGGAGTGGGGAAATAAAGCATTTGTCCTCTAAGCAATTGTGTGTCTGCAGCTCAGAACCATAGCTTTGAGAAGACCTATTTTAAGCATAGCAGAAAAAGGTCTTAGACTATATCATATGAAGGCGTTGCCTTTGTTATTCCCTATTTTCCATAATTAAAGCATCCACTTAATTTTAAAACTTGATGGTAGACTTTCTTGCCAACTGATAAAAAGCATCACATTCACTACTAATACTAATATAAATAATTTGTATTTTCTCATCAGCATTTCTTTTTTAAATTTTTTATTTTTTTCTGGTACCAGGAATCGAACTCATGACCTCGTGCTTGCCAGGCAGGTGCTGTGCCGCTGAGCTTAAACCCCCAGCCTCTGTCTTTTTTTTTTTTTCCATATCAGCATTTATTTTAACTTACTGCTTATTGTTTCCCCTAGCAGATACTTGAGCATATTTAATTTTACCACTTCTAACTTTTTTGGTGTAAATTTTATAATTTCTTTGTTTGTTTATTTTTTGTTTTGTTTTTGTTTTTTTCCGGTACCAGGAATCGAACTCATGACCTCGCACTTGCCAGGAAGGCACTGTGCCACTGAGCCACTGAGCTAAATCCCCAGCCCCAATTTTATAATTTCTTGAGAAAATATTTAATTACATTTTAAAATCTGTATTTGGGGTTATCTATAGCCACTTTGACACGGTGTGAAATGTCATCTGCACACAAACACATACACACACATATAAACTACTACTGTTGCTTTGAAAATCTTCTGAATAATGAAAGAGAGACACATCTGAAATGTGCTGCTCAAATGTTCTTGGCTTTGCAAGTCCATGAGGACAACGAGAAGAATCACTGTGAACAGAAGCTAAATTCCATGCCTAAGGGTGCTGAACTTCCTGTCAGGAACAGAGGTTCCGGATGGAGAGCCTTCCAGAAAAGAAAGCACAGAAGGCCATCGTTTGTCCCCACCTGGTGATGCTCTGGTTCAGTGCTCCAGGGCACCTGGTCTGGTGTCACTAGGCCACTCATATGGCCACAGGCAGCAGGCCAGAGTGGCCGTGAGGGCTCTGCCTCACAACTCAGTGTGACCCCGGCAAACCAGGGTGGGGACTGAGAGTTCAAACTGTCTGGGAATCTGCAAGAGACCTCCTATCAAGAGGGGGCTCCAACACTGCCCAAATGTGGACGAGCCTCTTCCATTTGCTTCAGTGTGGAAAAGCATGCACATAAATTTGCAGACTGGATCATGACAGGTGATCCCACCATCACTGATGCACTCTTCTGTCCCGAGAAGACCCTTTCATCAACCTTTTGTTGTCTTCTAAACCTGGGAGCAGGGGGTCCTCAGACGACTTTCACCCGGCCTTTGGTAGGTGGACTCTGTCCCTTCCAGCCCAGCCCCCCTGAGTGCTAACTCAGTCTCAGTATCCATGGAGCCCAAGATTTGCTCTCCAGGAGAGGCCAGCAGGCCTTCAACTGGTCAGGGTCAGGCTTCTCCTTTCAGCTAGGGTTTCACGTTTAACGCCACACTTGCTTTCCTCTTTACTGCAGAGCCTGGTCCCAGCGAGCTGCTATTGGAAGAAATAGGGCCTAGCGATGGCTTCCTGGACTACTGGAGCTTGCCGTGGACAAGTCGGGGTGGGGAGCTGCCAGCCCCTCCTGTCACGCTCTGCTTCTTGGCCCACAGTGCAGACAGGTCACTCTGGCGAGCTCTCCTCATGATCCACTGTCCTCCCCAGAGACCCCAAACTACCAGCCACCTGAGCGTGAGCTACAATAAACCTATTTCTGAGTTACTACCTCACATATTCCACTATGGCAATGCAAAGTTGACTGATATGCAAGGGGAACATGGGCCGTGCTTACTCTGTGAAAATAGATACATCCTAATCTGTGCAGTCCACCCCGGTAGCCACAGCTATGCCCACTGCAACTGAGAAACAGGATTTTGCATTGTATTTGATATTACTTATTTAAATGTAAATTCAACACATGCCGGTGCTTGCATCTTAGTCAGTAATGCTTGGGCAATGGTGACCTGGGCCTGCTCCAGGGCAGCTTCCTGGCCCACAGTGGGGTGGTTCTTCTTTTCTCTTCCACTCTGAGGATTCATCTGTCCCCCAGTGGGTCCTCATTCTGGAGGCTTGTCCCTCAACCTTGCTCTGTCCTCTCCTCTAGCCCCTGGAAGAAAACCCTTGCTCCAGGCAGCAGCTAAGTTTCATTTTTCTGCTACTTTGGTGTGGACAGGCAAGGTGTGTGAGACTGTCCAGGTTTTCCTGTGAGAGAGAAAGGAACGAGGTAAATAACTAGAAACAACCCAAACTATACAGGCATGTCCCTGCCACCCTCTGCTGCAAGTTCTAGCTTAGGCAGCTGACCATTCTGGGTCCCTTTTAGCTGACTACAGATTTGATAATCTGCAATTGTGAGCATTAGAACAGGGGTGGAGGGTTCTTTTAAAAACGCACACTTTCTGGATCCTGACACAAAAAGCTAGTGTTTTAGGTGTCAGTATTCTTGAGCCTCTAAAAGCTAGCTCTGAGAGATGCTCTGATCAGCATGCTGAAGTGCCTGGGAGCTAAGCTGGCCCACTCGGCCCAGTCCCCTAGATGGTTCTGCTCCTGTCTACCTCTGCAGCTTTTCTCTCTTCACACCTGCATTTACTGCCACTTCCAGTTTCCTGCCTCCTTCTTCCCCCCAACAATGCTCCCAAACACAGTAGCTCTTCAGAGTCAAAATAGTGCACCTAGTAATTGTAGGTAAGCCTTGTGAGTGAGCTGAGAGTTCCACTCACCTATGCAGTGTCCGGTAAAGATACTCTGCGATGCACATATCTTTCCAGGAGCTTGGCCCCTCCAGCCTTGCTCTCTAAGGACAGGCTGCACTTCCTTTGGCGTGTTTTGCTTGCCAGTGCCCACAGCTATTAATAGTGCAAAACTGCCATAAATCCTCATTTGGCAGTGATTCTCGTATCTGCTCCAGCACCTCTGCCTTAGCACTGACAGCATAAACGGTCTAGACATCGCATTGGAAAGAACTCCCCCAGGAACAGGCCTGGGCCTCGCTGGCACAGGACGGCCTATATCTATGCATACTTATGAGATTAGAAGGCTTCCTGGCAGACAAGAATTTTGTCCCAGGAGATCTAGCTCTGTGGCCAGCATTATGTAAAGAACAAGAAAGCTTGATGGCTCGCATTCATTTAATAGCATTTAGTCAATTTAAAGAGCGGATCCTGCACACAAGCAGCTCATTTCTTGTTCTCTTCTTTTTTCTTTTGGCGGTAATGGGGATCGATGTGTAACTCACTTCTGACCAAGGAAGAGACCCAATAGAGAGCTCCAGTTTAGGGGAATTTAGAAACAACCCTGAGTTTACATCCGGGAGGATGATGCATTCGCAAACGTCTAGGAGAGGAGATGGAGATGAAAATAGCTCTTTCCGCCAGCTGCTGCTCCTTTCGCAGAGTAGGGTGGGCGTCGGCGGCTGAGCAGACTGCTGTCACCCGCGGGCTGCTGTGGGCGGAGCTCCCATCCCTCGCCCGCCGGTAGTCTTGTAGAGCGCGGGTTTACTGGAAACCACTGGCCGTTTTCCTGTCCTAACACTAGGTTCCAATAGGGGCCAGAGCCCCGCCCCAGAGGGGTGCCGCCCCGCCCTGCCCCGCAAGGCTCCGCCCAGCGGCCTCCCCGAGCGGGCGTCTGCAACCTCTGCCCCCACCGCCGAGTCCAGCCGAGGACTCCAGGTCCCGGCGGGCTCTGCGCAACGCCCGCGCACCCGCCCTCTCCGCTCCGCCGCTCTGTGGGATCCACGAACTACAAGTCCCGGCAGGTCCCGCGCCGCGCCTGCGCACCCATCCCTCGCTCCCGGCTGAGCGCCTGCGCACCGCGCCCAACCCGCTAGAGGGAGAAGAGGATCAGGCTGGTCGCAAGCCAGCCAGGAGTCTGTGGCGGCGGCAGGCGACATGGACAACGCGGGGAAGGAACGCGAGGCGGTGCAGCTGATGGCGGAGGCCGAGAAGCGAGTCAAGGCCTCGCATTCCTTCCTCCGAGGGCTGTTCGGGTGAGCACCGGTGTGCGTGCCTGGGGGTCCCCGCAGAATCCCCACACTCTGGACCCGAAACGCGCCGAGGCGCCCGCCGCCCTCCAGGGACCCTTCTGAGCACCCCCGCAGCGCCCGGGCCCGCGCGCACTCCCGAGCCCCCAGGCCCCGGCCCCGCGAACCCTGGCGCGCACCCGGGACCCAGAGCCTCTCGGGTGTCCTAGCGTCGCCGACACGCTGGGGTGCGGGGTCCCCGTGGGACCAGCCGATGGCCCCACGCCTGGCTCACGGCCCATCGGGTGCTCCGCACGGCTTCTGGGTGGAGGGTGCGGCTCCTCCTGGCTCCGTGTTCTTCCTGTGGCAGAGACTGATCCATGGCCGGGCCTGCTGTCCGGTGGGGGAGAACGCAGCTCCTGGCTCGAGTCGGCAGCGTTAGGGAATCCCGTTAATGCCCTGAAGGCTTCGCGGGAAGCAGAGCCTCAGGGACAGCTTGTGGAGGAAATCTTGGCCGTTGATTATGTGAATGATTCAGCTCTTTAGGATGAGAAAGGCAGAAATAGCGTGTGTTTTCTTTTTCCTTTGGGAAATGAAGGATCCTCTGCTGTCACTGAGCAGATTTTTATTCTTGAGATGGACCAGCGATAGGTACTTAGCAAACATGGCATTATTAGACAGTTTTTTCTGTACACAATTCATCTTGGACTCGTAGTTCAGAAAACACACTCTTCGAACTTTGGCTTGTTTTGCAAACATAGTTCTTTAACTACTAATTAGGATGTTGTACTGTTACTGGTAACCCTCCAGGAAGTGGTTACAGGCCGGTTTCATGCAGTGCATGGTAGTGTGGCTGCTAAGATGTATGAAGAGGAGGGTCCCTGTCCCCAGCGACCTCTCAGAGGACGCTTATCACAGCTAGTTCCGAAATTTCTCGTGTGATATGTAGTTGGAAGATACAGCTAGTTATAAGGAGTACTGTCTAGTATTGCTGGTGCCAAGCAGTAACTCCTTTATTTCACAAAACATTTACAATTCATTCAGATGAAATTGAATGTCATAGCGGCTCACACCGGGGGTGATTTTAATGTCATGCGTATTCAATCAGGATGTGCTTCCCTGGGGGAAGGAACTGGCAGAGGAAAAAAAGGCAGGCAGGCAGCCGTGAGGGGGTTTAGGCCAGGAGGTGCTTTGTTGTTTTTAGGAAACTAGGTCAAATCTTGAGCCAGTAGTCCTAAAAGGATTTTGAAGAAAACCTTTTAAAGAAACATCACTGACTGTTGCTGGTCTGTCATTAACAGGTCATGTAGGAAGACTGTTTCTTCATTCACTAAAGTTGTGCAAAAGGCACTGCATCGAAGTTACTTTCTCATCGCTGGGACTGAATACTCAGCGCCCACGGCTGAGAGGTTTATTTTGTTTTGGTTTTTTTTTTGAGGGGGGGTGCGGTTTTCCAGTACCAAGAATCAAACTCACAACCTCGCCCTTGCCAGGCAGGCGTTGTGCCGCTGAGCCAAATCCCCAGCCCCTGATAGGTTTATTTTGGCTCACGTTTTCAGTCCGTGGTTGGCTGGCTCCAGGGCGGAAGCAGGGTGGCAAAGGAGCGTCTAGGAAGGGGCGGGGAGCGGGATAGCTGTTCATCCTTGGGCAGCCAAGGAGCAGAGAGCAGGAAAGAGGTGCAGAATGGGATGAGAACGTAGCTTTCCAGGTCACGGCCCTGAGACCCCACTCCAGCCAGGCCCCCCCTCTTCACAGCAGTCAGCTATAGCATCCCCAGGGTCCAGTCACCTCCGGAAGCCCCACCTCTGAACACAAGAGGCATTGGACAAGAGCCTAGATCTGAACCATAATAGTAACTTAGGTGTAATAGATTAGTTTATGATCCCAGGTTTGGGACCAGAGACAAGTTAACTTTGCTTTTTTGTGGCTCAGTCTCCTTTCCTACTAAATAAAGATAACTAACTATGCCTTTTATAATTTGTGAGGACAGGTGTGGTGGTGCATGTCTGTAATCCCAGCACTCAGGAGGCTGATGCAGGAAGATCACCAGGAGTTCCAGGCCAGCCTTGGCTACATAGTGAATTCAAGGTTACCTTGAACAATATAGCAAGATCCTGTCCCTAAAAACAAACAAACAAAAAAATACCTTGTGAGGGTTTAGTGAGTTTATGTAAAACATTCCAGAACCGTGGGTGTTGTCAATGATAATTATGAGATAATTCTGTTAGTCATCGAAATTGTCAGCTTTTTTCTTGTCGAGGAGGCAGGGGGCCAGATGGAGTAAATGACTTTTGTAGGACCTCAGAGTGAAAGACTTGATCACTGGTATTTTAATGCAATAAATACCTGAGAGAGCTTTTAGCAGTTAAAGAACCGTGCAAGCATTACTTATTCTGTAAAAACTGTGGTTTTTTTTTTCCAGCAAAACTTGGCTCCTAAAAAGCTTGGGAAAAGAAGGGTACTTAGAGTTCTAAGTCTTAATAATATTACGTAATTACTCAAAGCAAAAAACCAGGTTTAGTTCCTCTGTGAAGCTAACACTTTGTATCAGTTTTGGGCTGTTAGAATCCTGGGTTATGTGTGACATCGAATGCATGCACTTGTCTTCATCTTTCTAGACTGGGATATGTGTTACTTGGCCCTTCCCCTTCCTGTTACTCTTTATTTAAAATAGTACAGTCTGTCTCCATGTCCGCCTCCTAAATTAACACAGAATTAACAAAACAAACATACTGACCTGAGTGTCACTGGAGCTGTGATACTTAGGGCTGACCCTCTCGTGCTTTCAATGGGACATACCGTGTTTTGAGGATGTGGCAACCATTAGAAGGTGCTCGATGCATTGCAGATGTTTCTTGCCACAGATAATATCCTCACTGCAGGTTAAAGCCAGTTGTGAGTGTACCTCGTACCCCCCTTGGTGTGTGTGCCTCACCCACACTGGTTTTGTGACAGTACTGTATTATCGGGCCTGTTCCAGAGCTCTTGTTTTGTTGCTGTCAGTAGAGTAGAGGAAAATAGGCGTGGGGATTCGCAGAAGCGGGCCAGGCAGACTTCTGTGCCTTGTCTGCTCAGTAGGCGGCATTCCTTCCCACAGGACTCACCTGTGCCCCCTCCCGCCAGGCAGCAAAGCCTTGTGACTGGAGTGCTGTTACTCTGCCTACTGAGCAGTTAGTTAAATAATGGCGTATTTTTACAGCTGTGGAAACAAATTAATTCTTCCCTTTTCTGAAGGGCATAGTGTAGTATAGGAAAACTGCCAGAAGAGTTTTGTTGTTTAGTTGGTCACAGAGATGAATTTTTTTATTTGCAATTCTGATTATAGTCTTTAGGAACTGCCAGTATGATCTCAGACTGGCCAGAGTGTGACAGTGAGAGTTTTGAATTGCAGAGACCTCCTTACTAACTTCTCCACCTTGTTAGGAGACCAAGACCAGATTGAGGATAACCTGCACAGTGCCTGTCGGGTACAGTGGTGTTTAAGAATGACAAGAAGGATGTTCCTGAGGGCCAGTGCTTGATTTTCATCACTCCTCTATCTCAGAGCTTAGGGAAGAACAAGAAATTGGCAGTGTTAGGCTGGGCGTAATGGCACATACCTGTGATCTCAGTTCTTGGGAGGCTGAGGCAGGAGGATTACTATGAGTTGGAGGCAGTCTGAGCTACATAGTGAGTTCAAGTTTAAACTGAACTACATAGCAAGAGCCTGTCTCAAAAAAAAAAAAAGAAAAAGAAAAAGAAATTGGCAGTGTCAGTATGAATGTAATGGAGGGCCCTATTGAGATTTTTAAGTAATGACAAGTCTATAATTTACTAGCTGTCGGTAAAAATGGGGGATATTTCTTAAGCATTGTATATTCTTCACTTGGCTTTACTTCAGTGAAGATCATGTCTCTTAAGTTTTGCCATCATGTGATGGAGCCATGTGATGGCCTTTGTAAAGCGCTTAGATCTTAATTATAATGTCTGGCTGGCCGGCCTGCCTGCCTGCCTTCTTTCTTTTCCCATTACTAGCTATTGAACTCAGGACCATGACACTTGGCTACATTCTCAGCCCTTTTTATTTTTTGTTTTGAGACAGTCTGGCTAAGTTGCCCAGATGGGACTTGAACTTGCAATTCTCCTGCTTCAGTGCTGGGATCACAGGTGTGTGCACTGTACCTGGCCACAGTTGATATCCAAGTATAGATTGAATTTTTAAAAATCATTAGGCTCAGATTTACTTACAGAGGCAAGTGGTATAATGTAATAAATATATGTGATACAATTTTTTTTTTCTTTTGGTCCTGGGAATCGAACTTACAACCTTGCACTTGCCAGGCAGACATTATGCTGCTGAGCTATGTCCCCAGCTAAATAGATGCATATAATTCTTATTAGAACTAAGATAATCTATACTGGATAAAATAATATCTGTCATTATATATGGGTAGACAGCATAGACTATGGTTCTCCTGGTTTTTTTTATTTTTTTTATTTTTTTTTTGTGGTATTGGAAATAAAACTCATGACCTCATGCTTACAAGGCAAGCTCTGTGCCTTGAGCTATATCCCCAGCCCTCATCCTTGTGTTTACTGTTCTGGAGACCATAGCCAGGTAAGTCATTCTTGGCACTTTTCCCTTTTTTAAGCTTTCAGAGGACAGAGCCTGCTTTTCAGAGTTGTCAGGATTAAGTGAGGTGTTACGGTGCTTATTCAGCTGCACAAAAGTACAGTATTGTTAATTTTCTAATTTTGCATTGTTAAGTTTGGATGACCGGTGATGCGCTGTGCAGCCTGGCTTCCTGTGCTAGAGAGCAGATTGGAGGAGGCGGGGGTGCTTGGGGTGGCTGTGGCGTGGCCCTGCATCTCACCCTGCCGGTGGTACTCAGGAGACGCCTGGTGGATCGTGGTGGGGAGACTGAGTAGATTTAAGCTAATACAAATCCTGATTCTTTTATTTTCCTTCTATCAAATTTTTAAGAGCAAAGATGTACCAAGTGAGGGGAAATTGATATGGCTACTATAAACATAGCTACACAACTGGT